AAAAAAATAACTCTTGCACGCCTTGCGTGCCTATGTTTACAATAGTTTACACATTTACAGCAAAATCGCAATTTGAAAAAAAGTCAAAGCTAAACGATATTTGTCCTCAACCGTCATGGGCGTACGGTCACTCAAGCAAAATCAAATCACGTTCATTGTGAGTGGTGGCCCATTGAGAACAAAGGCAGAGCCTTAAAAACACCATAGCTGAAATGCCCCCAGGACACGAATTATATTCTTAGAATTTGTCGAGAATCCTATCAGGACCAAGAAGACCAATAAATACAAAACAAGAAGTTGATTTGTCGAAGGCTCTTCTCTTTATGTGGACACGAGGGAAAATAATTGTTAGCTATGCACGGTCTTCACGTGCAGTGGAATTTTATTGAACGCAGCAGTGATCAAAGACCATTAAACGCTAAAAGTGCTGCCAGAGCACTGTGGCTATTAAAAAAATGCGGTTTCAAAAACAAGGAAATCGCAAGTATTACATAGTAAAGAAGTACCTACAATGCTTCAAGTAAATTACACAAATTTAGCAGAAAACTATTTGCTTTTTAAAAAAGTCAACTTTTCTCTGTAATTGTCTAGATACTAAAGAAAGCTACTTACAATTATTGGTCGTCAGCAAATGTAAAATACAAAATAACACTCCTTGGTTGTGACAAAGCAAAATATAGTACCTACACTTCAAACATTATTCATCAATAATATTCATACAATATGTCATTTAAAAGGTTACATATTTTTGCAATTTGATGGACTAAAGATGTGTGTCCTTGAAGGGCTGCTCCCTCTTAAAGCTATGATACGGCGTACTCTGTTCACTGTCTGGGCTCTCGTCATCATACTTTAAAGAAAACAAAAATAGAAAAGCGATCAGATTAAACTACACCAACACTTTAATAATGAATAAATTTATAAGAGCTACGTCACAGTTTACGCATCTCGAAAAGTTTAACCTAAATGTTTTCAAGTTCCTCGTTTGTAATCTGTTTCAATCTTCTCCATCCTTAACCATCCTTGTTCCTTTATGGTTTATTATTATCTCTTTGGTGTTTTCTATATTAGTGAACTGCCTTATTACAGAAAATTTTCGCGACACGTTAATTTCGCGAATTTCGCGATTTGAAAAAAATCGCAAAATTGAAGTGACGCGAGCAATAAGTGTCGCGAACATAACATGATGCAAAAATTAAGTGACTTACATTATGTTACTGTTGACATATATTCCGCCGTCGTGTTTTTGTTAATTTTGACGTTATTGTAACGTTGATAACGTCGGATTACTAAATTCAAGGACATGTTGAGGTAACACTGCCAGAAAAATAAATTTTGTGTTACTCAAAAAGGCGAAGTTAAAGTGATTCGAAATACAAATTTTTCGCAAAATCGCGAAATTTAAGTGTCGCGAAATATGCGCACCTCAAAATCGCGAAATAAACGTGTCACGGAAATTTCATGTATAAGGCATTAATTTCAGGTTTCCATCCATTTAAAGGAAATTTTGTGCATGGCCAAAATAACTCAAACTACTGTGACGGAACTCCCCTAACTCACAGGGAAAAAAATACTAGAGAGGAGTTACTTCCACTGCTAACATCTTTACAAAAAAGTTCCTCACGCAACGATCTACTGCGGGCCACTTTTGTTTTTTTTTGAGCTGCCACGACTAAAGGAAATTCCTCATCGGAATTTAGCTGAAACCAGAACGGTCGACAAACCGCATACTTGAATCATTTTTATTTTTTGGAAGCCAGAGAAATGACTCAAAATTTTCATCGTAAGGAATCGTCAGAGGATTCGTATTCCTTGGACTGTCAATTCCCTTGTTTAAATGGGACGTAACAGTCCACAACTTCTTTTAAACGAATAAAGCGTCAAACTAAAAGTCAACTTAGACTGATGAATAACACAGAGATGGCAATAATAAAACTGGAGAACATTGAAAACTACGAGTACTGGTCTGGGTACGAGAAGAAACCTACCAATCCTGAATCTCTGTTACTGTGGCTCTTCATGAAACCATCCCAATCTTGAGTGTCATCCAGTGGAGCCTTGTGAAGACTACCATTATAGAAACCATACTGATCAGCTGCCTTGTGCAGTCGCTCCGTGCTGTCATACAAAGCTGTGGTACTGCTGTGATAAGGATTCTGCATCGAATGCATATCCTAGTGAACAATGTTACACAAAGTTAGTTTGTTAGCCTGCAACTAGCCAACTATATTTCCCAAAATAACAGAGCGTATTACTCGTATTTTTTGTAAATTATCAACAGAAGGTTTGGCTTGAGTAAACAGACGTCTCTCTACGCATGCTCTTTCCACGATCGAGAGAAGTTTGAGACTGGACCCGAAAAAATTCCATAGTGATGACGTACTCAACAGAGATCTGCATCTCTGTGATTGCTTGTTACTCAATTTTCAATTAAATTTTCGCGCGCAATTAACAACCAATAGGAGTTGTCTGTACAGCTACGCCATCAGTGAGTTGTTGTTTCTGTTTTTTCTCGCGTTTGAAGGTCGAATTTAGCGTGCAAAAGAAAGACGTATGTTTACGTCGATGACCCCACCCCCCAAGTGAAACACAAACCAGGACTTACAATCATGCTTCCGTTCTTTCTGTCACTGGACGTGTAGAGACTCGACATGGATGGAGGTCTGGACCGGATTTTAGTGCGAGGAGGCAAAGGTTCCCTATCACGTACATACACTGTCCTACTTCCACTAGACCTGTAGAGACAACAGGCCAAAAACACGAACAAGATGATGATGGCTATTAACGCCATGACAGCTATGAACCACACGCTCCGGTACCACTCCGCAGAGGCTGTTCGGGGAGCTGGAGTTCCTGGTGGGATACCTTCAACTGAGAATAGTTGTGAAGTGTTAATTGTGTATAAAATATACTTGGTCACATGACCTAAGTGAGATATATGGATCTACTGTCCAGCGCCAGTTCCCTCGGAGTTGAGTGATGAGAAGCGGTAACTTGAGCCCGAGGGGGTACTCTACAAAGTTTTGTACGGGGAGGCACCGTTCCGAAGTCCAGCCCCTTTCCCTTTTGAATACCATTTTGACAGAAAAGCTACCCCTTTTGCATACCTACTTAAAAACATTGCATCCCTTTTCTAAACCCTTGAAATGAAGTTAATCATGTAGTGCTTAATAAACTGAAGGATACAGCCACAAGTTGCGTCTGTTCGGAACGTTTTAATTAAAGGCCCTTTTAAGTAACTACATGAGAGATTTGCCTACTTTTTCATATACCTCCACTTTGTGAAATCCCTACCCTTTTGTATACCTGAAGGCCGAAAAAGGTACCCCTTTCGAGCAGAGCCTCCCGGGGTACCCCCCGGTAACTAAAGTGTTAGCCCGCTAGACTACCTTGTCATTCATCAAGGCCCTTAACACTTTAAAGCCTCTCAAATAGGTCGACAGGCAATACTTAGGTGAACTCAAAATTATACTGCATGAGCGAGAAAATAAAACCAGAGAGCACTCACTTAATCTTACTGAATCACTCAATGGTGCTGTAACAGTGACTTTTCGGCCGTCGACTAATGTAGTGGCTTGAGCTTTGTAAGTGTAGTCTGCAAAATAAACACAAGGGCTTCAGTGGAACGAAAATCTTAAGGGCAAAGACAACTTTGCATACAAACAATCGACTTTGAATAGTCAGTAAGTAGAAACTGCAAGGAGAGATCTAATGGGGCTTACTCCAACTGCTCTCACTTCCTAAGTTCCTAGTCCCCAGGTCCCGCTTGTTTTGTAGTCCTTCGTAAATAAGTAATCCATTTTCTAACAGTACGTAACTGTCCAGTGGACCGTTTAATTTAAAGCACTTGCTCCAGTCCACAGCCACGCGAAGCCCTGTCACTTTCACTTGTGGTTTCTGTCCTGTTATTTCGGGATCTGAAACAAACCAAGACTCGGTCTAGGCATGTGGCGAGATAATCCTCAATATCAAGTTTAATAATCTAACTCTGTTTAGAAAACAGCCTTAAGAAAATACGCGCGCTGATTGGTTAAAAATCGTGTTTCTATTTAATTAGATTATGAGCTCGAGATTTCTATCGACTATCACGCATAGAAATCGAGAGCGAATAATCTAATTGTTTAGTATAAATCTACTAGTCGTTCAAAACTTTATCGAAATCCTCCTCAGACACTTCGAAAACGCCAAGAAGCGGCCTTCACTTTGTTAACAAGGGCACACTGCTACGCTACCCACTATCTATCACAGAGAGTAGTGTAGCCAATCAGAGAACGGCATTCGTGATAGAAAGCTAGTAGATTTATACTAAAACTCGATAGAAGCACAGAACTAGCACGAGCTGTTGACATAATGATGGCGCTAGCAAAGAGAATTTACATCTTGATGATCAAAGTAAACAAGTTGTTTCTCTTTTTTTCGTCGCTGTGTTTTCTAAAAGAAATAGAAAACATGTTCTCCGTGTTTCTATTAAGTTTTAGCATAAATCTGCTTGCGTTCTATTGTGTTCTATCACGCGATAGAAATCTCGAGCTCATAATCTAATTGTGTAATAGAAACACTTGTGAAAGTTTTGGGAGAACTCGAAAAAGCTGTGGAAACACTCGCCTACGGCTCGTGTTTTCACAGCATTTCTCGTTCTCCCAAACTTCCACTCGTGTCTCTATAACTCGATAGAAACAAGGTACATGTTTTCTATTTCTTAAATAGTAATGGGTCAGTGGCACAGGAGAAACGCGTGTATGTTGGTTCCATGTTCGATCAAAATATCAACTCTCCTTTCCAACCTCCAAGCAGTTTGTTCAATGTTAGTAGTGAGAATTTGGCAGTACATCAAGACAATGTCCCATGGTTGACGATTTTCTTGATTCTCCTTACATGGTTTCTTGACAATTTGTTTATGTTTTAAGGAGAAATTAGAAGTTGACCACTCCTGGAAATTAAAGGTTATGGTGATCGTAAAGGGACGTTTAGATCGGAGAACGAGTGGAGACTGAGTGCGAGTGCCACTGTTCAAAGCCAGTGTTTATGTTAATCAGTCAGGTTTCACACCAATCCAGTGCTAATAGTCACCTATTCAACTGGTCAGCAACATGGAGGAGCGAGTTCTCTGGGACCTTTACTAATGCTATGAGACCTCAGTGTTTTCTTTTTTTGCGGGAGGGGAGAGAGGTGTGTATAGAGCACAAAATCGGGGCATCAATAGGCAATAGATTGGAGCTTGGATGAGCAATATATTATACAATTCTTTGATTTTTTTTAAAATAAAACATCTATAACAAAATCTCCTTACTTGTTGCTTTAGTCACCACGAGCTGTTCACCTGACAAACCGAAAGTTAAGGTGTTATAAACCCGTATCTTGAAGCTGTACATGGTATAAGGCGACAAATCCCGGATAATATAACGTCGTGAAAGGCCAGCATTGCTAACGTTCACTGGCATTGCAGAGGGACAGACTTCATCACAAGATTTATGATACAGAACTTCATATCTGAAAAGAAAAACATTGTTCAGGTTGATAAAGACAGTTTACACTTCCGGCTCCTTCCCAGGGAGTTTTCCTCGCTTCCAAATTTCATGGGAAAAAACCTGGGATCGAGATTGATTTACCCTTGGTCTACTTCACTCCGCCAGTTTTCGCTTCATGAAAGGGCCACTTGCATAATCGTCTATCCAATATTTGCGAAGATAAGTCATGCAATTTCATTTTCTTCTATGACTGTCAAACTGGTTCTTTAATCGAAAGAGACTTCTGTATATACATAATAGATTGTAAGAAGATCGAGTTGGATTAGGCAAGCGTGGTCAAAATTTGATAACACTGAAACGTATTGCAAAATAGTGGTCGAATTTCTTTCGGTAAAGTTAAGATGAAATCGTGGTTTACAATACTAAGAACGAATCTTTTTTGATATCTATTTAGAATTCCTCACTAAATGAAACGTTTTAACTTTCTTAAAGTGCAACTGTGATCACATTTTTACCCTTGAATTTTTAGACTGCATGTTAGAATTAAAGGAAAAAGACAACACTCGTTACTGAACTGATATAAACCCACCTTTGAATGATTCCATTGGGTTGGCTTGGCTCGTCCCATTCCAGTGTTACTGAAGTAGCGTTTATCTCGACCGGGGAAGGGGCAGGGAACCCGGTGGGAACACCCACTGAAGTCCTGCGGGTCACGCTCGGTCCCACAGCACAACCTCCGTCCGTACACACGTGCACACGTAAAACATACTCTGTAAATGGTTCAAGTCCAGACACTTCACGAATGGTCAACAGGCCTTCAGATACATTTCGTCCAGACACTTCTAATATGTAATTTCTTATTTCACCATTAGGTGTCCCAGGTTCAAGAATGAACACGTCGAAACTGTTAGGATAGGTTTTGTTTACGTGTGGCGCTTTTAGCTGCTCTGGTGGCGCGCTTAATGTTTGAACCACTGACCAGTCACTCGCAGTCTCCCCTGCGCTGTTTCCCGCAATCACGCGATATTCGTACTTGTAGTACGGTTTCACGTCTGTGTCGTTGTACGCTAACGCCGAACCATTTGTTACGTTCACAACAGACATTTCTGGACCGTAAACAATCGCCTGATTTCCATATAGGGATGCTCCGCGCCGATACAATCTGTAAAACAACATGAATCCATTCGGTTTTAGCGGTTCCCTCCACACGACCAACACCCTCCTAGCACCGATATCCAACCTCGGGAAATCCGGGGGATTCTGACCTTCTGGTGGAGCCTCGAAAGTACGGGCAGATTGTGCCTCGCCTGTGCTACATCCTTGGATTGTACAAGCGTGTATTCTGACTTCATAGAGCGTGTAAGGCAGTAGGCCAATGAGGGTTGTCTCCTTCGAAACACCGGCATCCTTGACTTGCGCGTTCCCTTGCGCTCCTTTGAAATTATACCGCACTTCGTACTTGGAAATAACACCATTTGGTATCCCGGGAACTGCCCATGACACTTTCATTGACGTCGCACTTAGCACCTCAAGAGTAGGAGCGCTAACGTTATCAGGCACACCAGGATTTGTCGGAGGGCTGAAGCCTGGAGGACTGGTCACGCGGTCCACCGAGTTAACGGCTGTCACGACATACGCATATATGGTGTATGACGCCACAGTGTAATCATCGAATCGCATATCAGTGCCGTTGTAAATCTGAGAGCCGTTACGTGTAAGCAGGTAGTACAGGATTAAGCCATTAGGTTTCCGTGGGGAGTTCCATTCCACTCGTACTAACGAAGAGCCACCGACAGTGGCTCTTGGAGCATCAAGACCCGTGGGAGGGGCCTCTTTGGTGCGCACTTCAGCGGCTGCACTCTGCGTACATCCCGCGCTTGTGCAAGCTATGATGTAAAAGGAATATTTCGTGTAAGGTTCTTTGCTGCTGATCGTCAACGACACGTCCAGTCCGGTATAAAGCGGAGAGTTGTTACCGACCTCGTACAGTTGGAACCTGGTGATGATTCCATTGGGCTTGTCAGGCACCCCCCAGGATGCCCTGATAGCCACTGGGCTAACAGCTTCCAGACCAGGGGGGCGCACACCTGACGGAGCCGCCTGGGCTGTTCGACGGCTTGTTGGAGAACTCAGTGTACATAGCACGCCTGACGTACACGCCTTTATAGTGTAACTGTACACGGTATAAGCGTCTAAACCTTGGTCCACGAAACTCATCTTATTCCCATTTCCTTCGTATTTTATCGACTCGTTCCTGTACACGAAGTAAAACTGGATCACGCCGTTAGGTTCTGATGGTTCTCTCCATGTCACGTTCACAGAGTAGGCGTCGATAACCGTGACAAGCGGCGCGTCGATGAAAGTGGGAGCGGCTTGGTCTGTTGTGACAGTTAACAAGTCACTGTCGGCAAAACCTCCGTTGTTGACCGCCCGCACAATGTAGCCGTACTGAGTGTAAGGCTTTAGTCCGGTGTCTGTGTACACGAAATTCGTCTTGTTTGTGTCATTTGTGGTATGTATCAGCGAGTCAGAAGATGGCGTGACAGCGCGCTTTCTCCGCTTCTGAACTGGCGTGACTGTCCTGTACACCTCGTAACGGATTATGACGCCATTTGGAACGGCTGGTGGCTTCCAACTGATCTGCACAACAGTTGCATTTACAAATCCACTAGTGGGCGGGGATTGACCCTGTGGGTCCACCTCTGCGGAGAAAATGATCTGCACTGAGCCCCGAGTGCAGCCTGCAACTGTACAAGCTTCTAGCTGAAACTCGTACGCGGTGAAAGGAACCAGTTTTGTGACCGTGTACTCGCGCGCAGCGCCGAGATACAATTGCAGGCTATCTTTATACAGTTTGTAGTGTGTGATGATGCCATTAGGGTTTCCCGGCTCATCCCAGAACAGACGTATGCTCTTTCCATCTGCTGCTTTGTCAGCTTGCAGTGGACGAATGTCTGCTGGAGGAGCTTGCTTGGTTTTTGCTGCCGCCCAAGCACTTGTACCCTCACGTCGGCTGTTGATGGCAGCGATCAAAAACTGATAGTCTGTATGAGGTTTCAACCCGTCTACAGTCACAGCAGAGATGTTGCTTGTCACCCGTGCTGCGACAGTGATGTTGTTGTTGTCGGGAACTTGCAGTTCTTCGCGGTAACGCACTTCATAGTGCGTGACGACACCGTTGGGCTGAGATGGTGCTGTCCAAGACACGTTTACAGCAGTAGAGTTGACAACATTCAAAGATGGCGGATTAATACCCTGAGGGGGTCCTTCAGGGGTGCGCACATTTTTCCAGGGCCCGTCTACAAATCCAGCGCTATTCCTAGCTCTCACTTTGTAAGAATATTCCGTGTATCCCAGGAGTCCAGTGTTCAGGCAGGTCAGCTTGGAAGTGAAACAAACCAAAAGGGGCGCACCAGCTCCTACCTTCCGGTAGACTTCATAACTAGTGATGATTCCATTAGGAGAACTTGGCGGCGACCAAGATATCTGAACGACATTCCATTCCTGGGGAACTAACGTTGGCTCTCCTTGTCCTATTGGCGGGGCCTCGTCAGTTGTCGCGTACTCCCGGTCTCCGAGTCCGCAGCCTTTAGCAGTGCAGGCTTTGACGCGAACGGAATACACAGTGAAGGGACTCAATCCTTTGATTACTTTCGTCATATTAAGACCAACGTTATGCTCAGTTCCATTGACGATCACAGAATAACTTGTAATGTTGCCATTGGTTTGACCAGGCTCGCTCCATTCTGCCAAAATACTATCAGCACCCTCCACGGTCAGAACAGGCTTAGGAATGGCCTCTGGAGAACTCTCAGGGGTGGTGGCAGTGGTGACACTGCTGTTAGTGGTACCCCCACCGGTGGTGGCGCCCACTGAGTAACTGTAGGTCGTTACTGGCTGAAGACCATTGCCTTTGTCTTGAAATATACACGTATCTTTACCGTCCTTGTTCTTATAGCAGGCATCCGTTCCATTATACACAAGAAGATTTCCTCGGTAAAGCGAGTATTTCACAATAACACCATTCAGAACATCTGGCTCGACCCACATGGCTTCAATTTCTCTCGCGCCTGTTACGGTCAGATTCGGAGGGTTCACGCCTTCAGGAGGCGCCTGCAATGTCAGTGTAGAGGCCAGCGGACTTGCTGTACAACCCACGCGCGTGCACGCGACAACTTCGAAAGTATAGTTGGTGTAGGGCGTCAGTCCACCAATCACAAGACTCATACTCAAACCTTTGTCATTGGGGTTCAACTGAATCTTGAAAGTGCTGTTTATGACACGGCTTATATTGTAACGAATGATTTGCCCATTAGGCTTGGGGGGCTCCACCCACGACACGTTTATGGCACTGAAGTTCACCGAAACTAAAATGGCCGGGTTCACATAACCAGGTGCAGCCTGGTCTGTGTAGATCAGTGATGTCATTTCCGCTGATGAGCAGTGCGTCGTGCAAGCCTCGATGATGTAACGATAGCCAGTAAAGGGCTCGAGTCCACGGTCAGTAAAAGTCATATTGAGACCGTTATATACCACTCGGCGCTGTGCAGTTTGACCGTTAATTCGCGTGAGCCTGTATTCCTGGATTATTCCGTTGGGCTTGGAAGGTTTACTCCAAGTTACTCTTATTTCCGTGGAGGATATCGGTACAGCTACCGGTGCTTGAAGACCTTCAGGGCGACCCATAAGCGTTCTGTTCTGCGCTTCTGGACTAGACACGTTGCCTTCGGTGTTTATGGCAACAAGGTAATACTCATAAACTGTGTGCGGCGTTAGATTGGTGTCATTGTACTCTCGAAGATTCGGATTGTATTGGTTTTTGAGAATTTCTTCGTAATCTGTTGCGCAAATTTGCGGCACAACAGTCGATGGAGTAGGCGCATAATAACCAGCTACAAAACCGCAGTTCAGCGTCGTGTTGTCGAAATCACAGCGGTCACACATTGCCACGTTTGCGTCAGTCTTGTTACAAATAGTACCCATTCCACAATCTTGGGTCCCGTTGCTTGACTTGTCCGCGCAGGTCTGGTAACTAGGGTCATAACCGCGCTCGTTGCAGCAGGATAAACCACTGGACACTCGACTTTTGCCACAGCATTTGTGATTGGACGAGGTCTTATCGGCTGCGCTGCTATAATTAAACACCTGAAAATGGGAGGATTAAAGACATCCTGTGTTAATACAAAACAAGAAAACTGAGATTTAGTAATTTCAAATAGCTTTTCTTAAGAACGGCAGGGCCTGGTTGTTCAAACCTGCATTATAAGCTTATCCAGCATTAGCGTCTAGTGAGAAAGCAGTCTTAAAAGTTGCCAATAATTAGTTCTGGTATAAATTTGCCCTTCGCTTTCTCAACTAGATGAACGAAACACTGGCTTAGAATTTCGAACAACCAACCCCAGTAACATATCTTAAACGTGACCGCGCACATACCACTACATCTCCTGCTGATCCCTTGCAGCACAGGCTCGTATCTGATGGCACGTATCGAGTTCCACAACAACTCTTACTGCTCTCCAGGTCGTACTCAGCTCCGTTGGTTTCATCTCCGCAGCAGACTTGTGCAGAGGCCACAACCTTTCCTCCACAGCATTTCCTCGGCGGCACGGGATCATACAGCGCCTCACATACACACACCTTCGATGGGTTATTCTTATTATATGGGGTGTCCCCACAACAGGCATTACCTAGCCCTACCACAGTCCCACCCTGAGATTTCGGGCAACAGACACGGCCTGAGGAAACCTGGATGTAGTCTCCATAGCAACACTGATAGTCGGCCTGCTGTACGTGGAAAGTGTTTCCGCAGCACACGTCAGAGGCTTGGTTCTTACGCAAGTAGCTCGTACCACAACAGGTCTTGGATGGGTCACGTGAATACAGAACTCCATTACAACACATCTAGAAATAAAAAAATACCTTTAGTATATTATCATTAATTTTATGATCATATATAATGTAATGAGGAATCATGAATACTTTCTTTTCTACGAAAATGAAAGTTCGGGGGTAGAAAAGATAGGTCCCTTAACAAAACGTCTTAAACTGCGACCACTCCGACGCAAAGTTCTTTACTCACTATCTATTCTGCTGTAGATACAGTGAGTAGCAAAGCACTGTGCAATTATGAACAAAATGACGGCCGCTTCTTTGCGTTAACGAGGTGTTTGTGAAGAGGATTTCAATAAAGTCTTGAACGACTAGTAGATTTACACTAAAAGAATTAGCCGGATTATTCGCTCTCGATTTCTTTGCGTGATAGTTGACTCAGGCTGCGCCCTTGTCAACTATCACGCGATAGAAATCTCGAGTTCATAATCTAATTGTTACATAGATCAGTTACCCAGGCCTACCTGATTAGCTGGATTATAACAAGTGACTCCACATAACTGCTCCGATAGGTGACACTCGATGAAAGTGCACTTGGCTTGTGGTGGCGGACTAGAAAACAAGCAAACAATTTTCAGCTAAGTTAGTCTAACACGGGTAGCCGGCGAACATGCGAAGAGCCCCCTTGCAGGCTAAACACGGGCTCTGTTCATGCAGGACCAGTCAATGATGGATCCCGTCCGAGACTGGGTCTATATACACGGGCCCATTTCTTTAGGGAGCGTGTGTCCCGCAGGCCGATACAGTAATGCACTGGTCCATTATCAGATCAAAGTAAGCAAGCCAGTTTATTTTGTCAGTCTTAGAATCGAGGCGATTTCAATTTACAAAATTAAAAGAAACCTAGTGGAATCGACATCTCGGCATTATACAATTCCTTTACCATCAAATGCGAAAGGCCCAGCGAAAAACAAAGGCCACACATACCTCGTAGGACACTGGTAAACCATTCTTCTGAAAATCTGATAACCAGACATGATTCCATTTGGACGGGAAGGCGGCTCTTTAAGTGTAAAACGTCAACATTAGTATAGAATAACACACTTATGCATTAACAAAACGTCTAGTTACAGATCTAAAGTGACTTTCAACTTACCCCACTGGACAAATATAAAGGTTGAACCTGCGGTGAGGCGCGGTCCAGCAAGACCTGTGGGCGCTAAAAGACAACAAGAAGACAAACATTTTCTAAATGAACAAAATTTTTAACTTTCAGCAGTAAAAACAACAAGCACTTCGGAATTTGCTATGCTCTCTTCAACGTTTGCGATTTATGTTTGAACATCAAAAGGACAAAGTGCATCAACATTTTGTGGCAAGACAGCTTGTACAGCAGACAACAGTATGTGTTGTACAAAGCAAGAAACCGACGAAGAATCCCGATGCAGTCATTCCTTATTCATCGGAGACGCAACTGGTTTGCGTAGAGCAAAAGAAAATCTCAAAAATAACCTAAATGAACAAACAAATTAGCAAACCAGTAAGTACGTTTAACAGCACTTACCAGCAGCATCAGTGGTAGCTGATGTTGGATCACTCATCGTACACCCGTGTGTGGTGCACACCGCCACCTTAAAAACACGCAAAGAAATTAATACTTAGGTAGGGGGTTAATATCTGGCAGCTACAATATTGACAAATACACATACACAAATACAAGCATTTATACCATGCCAGAGAAAATACAGCCAATTACAATAAAGGAATGCCGTTAACACTAGGAGTAGTGGTGTACCAATCTATGTCAGGTTCCTAAGCAGGACCAAGCTAACCATTTCTCTCATTTACAGGGTTCCAGATAAGTTTTCAAGGTGGGGTGTCAGCAAGACAATTAAACCGGCCAATTCCCAGTGCTCCCACCAAATCATTATAAATTTTCTATTAATTTGTCGGGTCATGTAGCTGACCTTGTCGGGTTTTTAGCTGAGACCCCTCACTTATCTGGAACAATGATTTATTAGTCCAACATTTTCAAGAGCGTGGACAACTTAGACTGACGCTAAGCTAAAATATGGCGTGCAAATGTCTCACAAACACTGAGTGGGTCGATTCTTAAATACAGGCTATCTGGTCTATCTGAAGTGTTTGTGAAGAGGATTTAGATAAAGTTTTGAACGACTACTAGACCTATACTATAACAATCAGATTTTTCGCTCTAGGTTTCTGTGTGATAGCTGACAAGGACGCAGCAAGAGGCAAGTACCACGCGTAGAAATCTCGAGTTCATAATCTGATTGTTGGTCACCACAGCTACACACCTTTATGACATAGTATGTAAATGGCTCGAGTCCAGATGCCACGGCTTGTCGTTCACCTCCAGTCGCGTTGGTCCACAAGGTATCGTTTCTACGTAAGAGAGACAAACGTTAAAATGTTAAAAATGCTTTTTTTTTAAAATTTATACAAAATTTTTGTCACGGTTGCATTTGGGAGGGGGTGGGGTGCATTTAAATTGAACACAACACAGTGAAGAATCCCCCAGTGGAGGAAGCTAACTTCGTTTGCAATGAACATGACATGGTCGAGGAGTTGAGAACTCTTTAACTTAAGTCTTAGATTTCCGCGCCATAAGAGCACACGATAATAAATATCTGCACACGTTTACTTACACGTATATTTTGTACAATATAACAACTCCATTCGGCTCTGTTGGTGGATTCCAGCTCACACGGATCTCGGTGCTGCTTAGAGCGTACAATGCAGGTGGGCCGAATCCCTCGGGCACTAAAACAACAACAAAAAAACCAGCTAGTTACCAGCACATGAAAACCGCGAGCTCAACCATACCGGTAACGATAAACCAAGAAACAATTTTCCCAATTGCTGTTGGAATATCAGCACGCTTTCCAAAAGCACTTGTTCCCAGAATATATAGCCACACGACCAGCAACAAAACGTCGACATAAATTAGAAAAACGCTCAGGTAAAGGAGCGGGATCCCTTTCCAGATTTGTGTAAGGTTTGGTGCTTAATAATACCACATCAATGCTAATTCACCCTACACAATACTAATTATAATTGCTTCTCTTACTTCCATCCAAGGTTCTGATTTGGAAGCCATCACTCTTAAACCGGCCTGCTCCATTATCCAGTTCAACCTAACGAGGGAAACGAAATAAACGATTTGTAATCGTCACATTGTGCTTAACCTCTGAGGCGCTTACATTTCTAGGTCAAAAGCGTCTTTGTATTCAACAGTGGAACTTTCGAGCGTTAGTCCTATCACCCTTAAATAAGAACTTATGATGTCGGCTTGCTGCAAAGCCATGTAATGTTAACTTATTAAAAAAAACCCTCTGGTCACCAAAACGTAAGGTCTTAAGTAGATGGAAAGAATTTGCCTAATATGAATATGACGGTGGAAGAGATGACCGAATTCCTACATGTCTTGGAGATACGCATTTTCGATGCCTTGACATTCCTAAACAAACAAGGTTAATTTAGAAGATTATTCTGATGGCACAACAGAAGAACAAGCTTACGTAAAATTTGTAAACAGTGTTGGCCTTGAGGTTTGTAACCGTTGTACGGGTCTGGTTTCCGGGATACGTCCCCACAAGACTCACAGGAGAGGACGGGGCCGACGTGTCTTCAATCTCTAAAAAATACGACGCAACAGTACCACGGAGCTTCTGGATCCCAGGAGGCAACCACGTGACCAACACTGAGGTGTGATTCAGGGCAGTTCCATTGACAGTGGCGCCCGCCAGGGGAGGGGCAGGGCTTGTTCTGTAGGGTAGGGATGAGTTGCTAGTGGTGTTACCTTGCCCAGTAACCACTGTGACCTGGGAATGATGACAAAGTAAGAAAGTAAATATTTTTCACGGTCAACATTCTCCGAAGTATTTCCACTCAGTTGCTATAAACTTCCTTGGGAGACTTTGCTATTTGGTCAAGAGGATCAGGTCCTTAAATATGCCTGCCGGTGGGAATTCATTTCTAAAAGGCAAAGAACTTAACAAAGTAGTTTACCTTGTATTGATGTAAGGAGAAGATTCCGAGGCCAGTATCAAGATACTCGGTGACTAAAGGCGTGCCTTGAAACACCTTTACAAACTCTGTAGGCTGAGTGATGTTATTTCCCACAAGGTCCTCCACCGTACTCCTCAAAAGCTCATACCGCAAGATGACCCCGTTAGGCCTGAGTGGTGCATCCCACCTAACGCGCAATGAAGTCTGGGACTCCGCCTCAGCGACTGGTGCGGGTTGCATTTCGGGCTTCGCAGGAAGCGTACGCACTTGAGCCGGCGAACTGCTTCCGCATCCTCCAATTGTGCATGCGCTAACAATGACATTGTACAGGATGTAGGGATCTAGTGACGTTACATTGACTTCAAACGGCGCGTTCGCATTGACAGTGGTGTTGCGTGAGGTTTGTTGGTCGTTGACTCTGATAATATAGTGCGTGACCACACCATTAGGAGTGCTGGGTCGTGTCCAGGCCACATGTAAAGCGTATGGACTGAGCGCTCGGACAGTAGGAGCTGCGATACCCTCGGGGTCTGGTGAAAAAAGACAGAAATGTCAGCTGATTGATGTAAGTAAACAAAGCAGTACGTAACCTCGGGCTTCGGTGGATTATGGGTTAAAAAAAGAAACGACTACTTGTGTCTTGTATCTAGGAATTCCATCAAAAGCTCGTCTTCCATTTCTCAATGTACTCCTCCCGCCAAGCAACATCATAAAATGCAAGCACAGCAGTTCTTACAAAAGACAAGGCCCTTGTTTTATTGACATTTTTCACCGATAGATTTAGGGTATATATATCAAAATGAGGTGGGTGGGTCTTGTGATTGGTTTGTCCGACGACGGACTCCTTTGACAGCTGGGCGTTCCAGCACAGGCCACCCGCTGACCTAAACCACTGTCAGTCTTACCTCCCTCGCCTGTAGTAACATTACTGTAAGGACTGGGCTCTCCAGGTCCACTGTTATAAGCAATTATGCGGTACTGATACGTAGTTATTGGCCGAGCTGTATTATCCACATAACGCCGTGGAAGAGAAGCGTTCACTTCAGCAACGTCGGACGGATTATCACTTCGCACCACGCGCCGCTGGATAAGATATTTCTGTAAGATGCCATTTGGTACAGAAGGTGGGTCCCATTCTATCACCACAGTCCTTCCAGACGTTGATGACAGCCTTGGTGCAGACAAACCTCGGGGACCTGCAAGTCATTGAAAGACGAAGAGCACATGCTCTTTAGATGGACACTCAACAAACATCTAGGAAGAGGAGTGCCTTCAAACTGTGAATTCATTTCATTGTCCGTGGATGTCCGAAATCAATTAGAAATTCAGGAAATAAAAGAGTTGTGCAATTTTGCAAAGTTGACTTTGCCGCTTACCGTGCCCAAATTCGCAATTAGCCAATCAGAAGCCGTGTCTACTGTCCTGATATCCTGCGATATCAAGTCACTGGCCTGATATGGCTTAGATATCATGATCACATGGCCGAATTTGGGTACGGTAAATACTTAATTGTACCTTTTTGGTACGCTTCGGCGGCATATCAGACTCGTTTGGTCTCGCCATGGGTATTTTGGCTCGACCACGTCTCGCCAAAATATGAACCATAGCTTAACCAAACTCGCCTGATTAGGTATAAGAATTTGTCAAAGGATATTTAAAGAAACGAAAGGAATGCTTGTTGTAAAGAGGCCCTGGAAGAAATGGCCAGGACTGAACTGAATGTTTCCTGGGGTATTTTATAAGCATCAGACGGCCTCGAAAAGATCAAGATCTTTTATATTTATGCGTGTTTTCGTTAGGTTTGTTCATGTTTGACCAGTCGAGAATCAAATTAGTCTTGGACGAGGAGATATCAACGAAAGACTGATGATTGGCTTTGTGATTGGCTGAGGGGACTGGGAAGGTTACAAGTTATTTGTAAAAATTAATCAAACCCTTCCAAGTAGCTACAATGGGCGACAAAAGTAGTTGAGACACATTTAGAAAAAGACGCTTTTCGATATTTAACCTCTTATTCTCTTTCATTTACATCTAGCGTTAATTCTCTGATATTCCCGGCCCCCCAATTCGATGTTGTGTAGCTGCTGTGGTCTGTGCAGTCTTAAAAATAGTCAAATCAACATTGTTTAGGGAAAGAGGGGGGAGGGGGAGGGGGGGGTGATGTTTCCAAGACGCTCGAAAATCAAATTTAACTGCGAAGTGTCTCAACAGCTATGTCGTTCATTGTAAGTATGATATCCTTCGCTGTAAAACGCCGGAATCTGTAATTAAATAACAGAAACACATCCAAACTCGTACCAGATTCCAGAGTCCTTTGCGGGGCTGAGTCAGAGCTGTTACTGCAGCCGACCTCTGTACACACACCCAGCTTGAAAACGTAGACAGAGAAGGGTTGGAGACCAGATGCAACATAGCTTGTAACGTTTCCCATGACTCTCTGGATCTCAGTGCCATTCTGATAGATGATGTAACGTAACAGCACACCATTGGGTTCTGCTGGGGGGTCCCAGACCACCGTTACAGAAGTTGAAGTCACGTTCCTAAATAATGGTGGATCCGGAGAGCTGGGAACTAGACAAAAATGAACAGAAGGTCACAATATATTTGAGTTACAATAATTTTAAGAAAAAATTATTCCCTGATACTAGAAACTTACCATCTTCAAGGGTCGTAACCTGAGTCCCCTCACTAAAGCCAGACCCTGCGGCAGTAGTGGCATTCACGCGGAATTCGTAGACCGTGAAAGGCTGGAGGTTAGTTACTGTAAAACTAAATCCCATTCCACTGAAAAGAAGAGTTTCAGCCCCGTCGGTTTTCTGAATCAGTCCATAGCCAACTACAATTCCATTAGGCAACGCGGGCTGTTCCCACGTGACATGTACCGAAGTTGAATTCAACACAGTGACGTTGGGCGCTTTCAAACCATCGGGGACTGGAATTGAAGTAGATTAAAAACAATTTTAAAAAAATTAAATCGTGTCTACTTCTAACGAAGGCGGCCTTATGCGGGGAACCGCACAATTAAGATTGATGACTAAAGAAGAGAGAGAGAGATAAACTTTTTATTTTCTCACTGGGCACCGTCCATTGAAAATAATTAACAATACTGGATAATCATCTTTGCTCCTTCTTTATCGATTACTACCCCTTATCATTGTTCTTTTTTCACCTTGGTTAAGTAGTATTTAGATATTTGTCAGTTCAATCCATTTGAAAATTATTTCTTCACTGCAGTAAAATGTCTTTAACTTCTATCCACGATTAACGCGGACTGATCTTAAAAAATCCAAGTACGAAGCTAATTGAACATCCTCTCCCTCCACCAATCATAACTCGCAGAGGGTGGACGTTCGTTGACATGGATTAAAATTCGTTGATTTAATTCCACGGTTTTAAAAGTACTGATTACGTGGTACTATTGTTGCGTGTCTGCTTAAGTTGAACGGCAGAACCCCAGGTTCTAATGCCAGTGAAGAAAATTTTCACTCGGGACCGCGACTTGCAGATATTTTGGCGTCCAACACAGGCCAAATTTTCTTCCTAAGAAAAGGCTTTACATCACTTTTGATCACTTCTACATGTCTACTTGAGCTGACAGTGCACAACAACTTACCTCCTTCAGGGGTGGAGTTAGTGACATTGTTACTTAGAACAAAGCCAACAGAATTGGACGCGTTGACCCAGAATGTGTAAGTAGTATAGGGAAGAAGGCCATTGTAGATGAAATCCTTTTCGGCTTCCTCGACAGAAATGGCAGTCTCCACGCGTTCCTCAGTTTCTAACTCAACAGAACCCTGCACAATGAATCTACCATAAACCATCAAGTTGTAGAACAGCCTTCCGTTAGGCACTGCCACGCGTGTCCACCGAGCGTTAACCGCTGTAGCATTGCGGATGTTTGTCGACAGAGTCACTGTACCATTCGGTGCAATCTCTTGAGTGAAAGCCACCGCTAACGCGCCGTAGGCGCAGCCTTGCGCCGTGCACGCTCGAACGCGGAACGTATGACGGCTGTACGGTGCAAAGCCTCTTGCTGTGTGGTTCGTGAGCTGGGTTACATTCAACACTGGGTCTGTTATGGAGTCTTGGTACAGTTCATAGCGCGTGATGACTCCGTTTGGTTTATCTGGCGGTAGCATGATGACAGATAAAGCGTATGGACTGTCAGCGACCACAATGGGAGCTGGGATATCATCCGGGACATCCTCGTGCGTTGTTACCTGTGTCGCATTACTAAATGTCCCGCCGCCTCCGGTGAAGGGACGTACTCGAACGTAATACAATGTCCCTGCTGTGAGATTTCCGATAACAGTGTTAAACACATTTGGAGTGGCATTGAATTTTGAGACATAAGCACTCAAAACATCGCTGGTGGCGAACAGGATTTCGTAACGTACAATTGACCCATTGAGGATTGTTGGAACTTCCCAAGATACTTCAACTTCGGTTCTTCCACGCACCAATACCTCTGGGGCCTTTACTCCCTCCGGGGGCAACTCGCCGGTTCTTATCCGGACCACCGGTCCTTGAGCACAGCCGATTCGCGTGCAGGCAGTTAGCTGTAGTGCGTACTCGGTGTAAGCCCACAAGCCTTGGATTGTAAAGTTGTTACTTGTTCCGCTGTACACCACTTGTCCATCCAGTGTTAGATTATACTGAGTTATTATGCCATTAGGCTGCCCAGGCTCGGTCCAGTGCACCTCAAGCTCCTTTGGACGACGGACAGCTGTAGCGCCTGGGACACCGTCCGGAACTACGAAAGTAACAAAAGATGAAATAAATGAAATTGAATTGGACAAAAAAGAAGCCAAAGTAAATTTTCCAATTTAAGCAATTGGAAAGAAGAAGCCTGAAAAGAATCAGGACTTCAACGGGATTCGAACCCGTAACCTCCGCGATACCGTTGCGATGCTCTATCAACTATGCTATGAGGCCACACATAGCTCAGTTGGTAGAGCATCGCACCGGTATCGCGGAGGTTACGGGTTCGAATCCCGTTGAAGCCCTAATTTTCTTCAGGCTTCTTCTTTCCAGTTGCTTAAATTGGAAAATTTACTGCGATGATCATTCTTCACTTTCATCTACAATCGCAGTTCAAATATGAATTATTTAATATATACTTCACATCAAAAAAGAAGCCACTCGGAGATAATCTAAACCAAGAATCTAAACCAAGTTAACTTCGCGGACCGTAGCCTGCCTTGCACGCGTCTTTGCTTGGAGACTGTAGGTTAGTTTCGTTCGCGTATTTGGCCGCCACTTTGCAACGCAAAAATAATTATTCATGTCTGGCATCCTCTGTTTTCAAAATCCAAGGTGACGGCGGCGCGCGACCATGTTCGTTCAAAAACACGCCCGCAGTGCAGGGTAAGCAAATAGTACTAACAAAAACATGAGCAAAATAAAATACCTGATTCTTGAGTGGTTACATTTTTACCAGGCCCCACTGCACTTCCCCCGACCGTGAAGGCCTGGATCCTAATTTCATACGTGGTGTAAGGTTGAAGCGCTATGATGGTAGTGTTAAGAACACTTGTGTCTGTGATGACTGTTTCATCAGGTGTTGACTGTGGAGGGTGTACACGGTACGAAAGTATCCTGTACTCTGAGATGATTCCGTTCGGTCGCCCAGGTGGTGTCCAGACTACTCTCACTGTTTTGCCGCCCGGCAAAGGCATCAATTGTGCAGGGGCTTGGAGACCAGCGGGAGCTTTTTGGGAAAGAAGATAAAGTAAGATTTGAGTTTTTCAGGGGTAAATTTGCGCCTCTCTCTATAGAAAGTTAGGTTAAATTCCAAAACAATTTGTCGATGAAGTTTCTTAGGGCTGAATATGCGATTTAAACACAGTCCACAGTTGGTGAGACCGAGTTTCTGGTTGAATTGCGGTTTACACAGGACTGTAAGCACCACTATAATATCACTGTTGTTACTATCTAGACACGTACGGTTGGTTTAGATCTCGGCTTTCTTAGAAGCATTCAGAAGTAACTTGCCATAGTCGCGCCTGAAAGGTCATTCAATCTCTTACCTCCCTGGCCACTGCGAGAAGCAATCCAGGCACTTTTAGCTGAGCCTATAGTTCAAACATGATAACTGTCCACACGGTACAGGTAATCTAATGCCAGATAAAAGAAACAGTTAATGTCTAAACATACAGAAGTGTTATTCGCTCTTGGTTCAACGTTGATTCCCTCAACCCCCTACCCCACCTCCGCCCCAGATTATGGCCATTGATTTCCCAATAGACCAATTTCGATAGATTAAAATTCAGCCCAAAACAATAGACGTCAGTACGAGGCTCTGGGGAATAACTACAGAGTTTGTGGGGTTTATTCCCCAGAGCCTCGTGCTGAGGTTTACTGTGTTAAGCTGAATTTTAATGTATCGAAATTGGTCTATTTGCCTTTCGCACGTCTTTGTTAGTCCCGGGGGTGTGGGGTGGGGATGGATACCGCCATTTGTCCAGAACAGTTTTACAGAATCAACTTATTATCGTCGAGAAAACACCATATTTCACCACATTTCACCATGTTCATTTTCGAAATAATGCACTGCAACATCATCGGGCAAATGATTTTCCTCATTTCGTTAAGTGACATTTTAGTGTCTAGAACGTCATCTTGACCTTTCATTTTAAGGAAAGAAAAACGAACAATAACAGGTTGCACCACACTCAAATAAATAAAACTGATAACATCTAATTACGAGAAAATCAAGCTGAAACTGAAAGTACCTCGAAATTACATCAGTATAAACAAGGAAAACAAATCTGAGACGATCTTTCTGCAAAACTTACCAGTGAATACATCCGCTGAAGAGTCATTAAACATCTCGGTCTTTCCAGAGTACACGACAGAGCTATTGAAAGGAAAACATTCTCCCACTTGGCTGCTGACCGCTACTGTCGACTCAGGAAGACAGCCGTCAAGGTCAGCATTGTGCATAGCAGTGACGGTGTTAGGGTAATCGATGTCTTTCGCAGTAGACTGAACCATCATACAACCACCAAATGACGACTCCACATTCACTCCAGCCTGCTGGGCAAATGTCTCGACCGGGGAACCCCACGGGACCCCGCCTATGTAAAAAATGGACTGTATTACCAGGTTGGTGATACCGCGTCCAGAACCAGTGTTGGTATCAACAGTGACCGTTAAATTCCCAAGGAAATTAGTTACAGCCACGTTGTGCCATCTTCCGTCACAAATTTCACCAGATAAGGGTGCAACAGTGAACGAGTCTTGTACACTCGACGTAACGTACTTGATTTCGACCTGGTTTTGTGCAAACTGAATAGCAAACGTTGTTGTTGGTCCATGTGCGAATAGAAGCAACCCCGAGGACAACTGAGTGCGGAAAATTAATGTAAAGCTAAATATGTCGCTGGTGAGGATGCCCGCCTTTGCTGAATCTATGGCAACATAGCCACCTCCCCTGAGTAACATGGCATTCTTCTTGTCTCTTGCTGGACAGCCATTACGCTGAGGTTCGACGCTGACGGCTTCCAATGCAGAAGTCCAGTCTAGCTGACGCGAATCGGACGTGATTCCACGTAGGCAACCAATGAAACTGATCCTTTTTAAGACAGCATTACCCGTGTCTGGCCTCAGAAGTCTGAAGGTAGAAGGGAGGCCCCCGATGTACACTCCTGTGTTTGGCGCAATCACTGTCGCCGTTCCGGGGCTGTTCTCACTCGCCTGGTAACCATCAACTGTTAGGGTACCCCGACGACTAACACGTTTTATTTTCAACTGATGCCACTCGCCATCGTCGAAACGAACTGATTGACTGATCGTGAAGGCGGCCGCGCCATCTTGGCAATCAAATATCAACCAGGGTTTACCGTCACGCAATTCGACTGCCAACATGTCCGTCTGGGAGCCATCCGATACCAAGAACAGCAACAGTCCAGATGCATACTGGGTACGGAACCAGAACTGAATATCATTGCTAGCACTAGATCTGACGAAGTCAGATGGAAACTTGTAATATCCAAGGCCTGGGAAGTGTACTCCGGCTGACACTAATGGAGGCGGGAAGAACAGTGCGGAGTAGGCTCGGCTCAGGTTGTAACTCGGCGGCAAAGGACCGTTAGGAGTCTGAGGCTGGGACCATTTTAGGTACACTGCGGATGAATCAACTGAGAACACCGTGGGTTGACCTTGTCCCTCGGGAGCTAAAAGAAAGAAAGCAACAACACAAACACCGTAGTTAGACGGTGGTTAGTAACAGCATTATCAATTTCTGTGAACAAGGAAAGCTCAGCGAATATTCTTCTCAACAACAGCTTTAAAAATTAAAAGTTACCCTCCTTGTGCCCAGAGGAAATTATCCTAAGCCTATCTTAGTCAACGTGCTGAGCTCATTTCAAACGTTGAGTTTTTTTAAAAAATACATCATGCATGTTTTTTTCTTCCAAGGATGGAATCTGGGATTGGGTTGTGCTTTGAACTTTAGAGGGTTTGGTTTAGATGTCTCAACCTTTTAGAGGGCTTTGCTTTCTATTGCTTGCTAACCTGGCCTTCGGAAAAATTAAATTCTATTATTGTTGTTTTAAATGGAGCGATCACTGGAGCGAGAATAAAGCATAAATGGAATATTGTGTATAACATACCGGCAGATAATGTCCGCGCAAGGGCTTCTGGGCTATGTCCTGAGCAAGCGAAGCTGTTACAAGCTTTGACAGTGAATTTATATTCTGTGTATGGCGTCAGCTCAGCAACCGCGCCTTGCCGCTGGGGCCCATTTACCTCTGCAGCCCTCACGGCAGTCGGACTTGAAGGAGGCTGGTACTTGTATACAATGTAGTGAGTAATGACACCTTGTGGGGTCTGGGGAGGACTCCAGGAAACAACCACTGAACTACTGTTGAAGGGACTGGCGCGGACGTTCATGGCATTTTCACCCAGTGGAGCTAAAATGTTAAAAAGAAAACATCATTATACAGTAACTTACAATATCAGCCTTCTCTAGTCAACTATTTGGGAATATTTTTTGCTATGAGAAGTTAGTCCGAAAGTTTTAAATGAATTTTTGACATTAATTTGTCAAGTGTTGGGAATAGTACATATAACAACTCAAATCTGTCTGCGAAGCTGCAAGTCCAAAATAGCTACGTATCCAGCAACTCTGTATTTTGCGTTATCTTATCATTAACGTTCTCAATATAGCGGATTTGCCGCGAAAAAAAAAACAGTTCGCAGCGTCAAGTAAAAAGTTACAGAAGTATCCGTCAGTCGAATTGAAGATACTATGACTAGCCCTTAGAAACTGATTGGTCAGTTTAGTCGAAATGTATTGGCTTTATCAAACAAACAACAAGGAGACTTACTTCCTTCACCGGTTTTATGACGTGTCCATTCACTCGCTCTGTCACCTCGGACCTGCGCAGTGTATGTACGTACCATGAACTCGTACTCTGTGAACGGCATCAGTCCCGTCACGTTTGTTTTCCTGAAGTTAATTTGATTCGAGTCATGCGCAGGATTGCTGTTAAACTTCAACACTCCGCCGCTAGTGAAAGGCGCTGCGCGCATGTACAACTCAAAACGTAGAATCCTTCCGTTTGGTTCCGGTGGCTCGTCCCATTCCACCGTCACAGCTTTCCCACCCGGAAGTGACGTCACATTTGGTGGCGGCTGAAAATCTGGGAGTGTTGGTAGCGTCAAGATGGTTGTTACATTACTTCGAGTGCATCCACCATTTGTGCACGCCTCAACCGTGAAGTTATACACGGTGTAGGGTCTGAGGTCGCCTAGCTTACACGTAAAAATAATACCGCGGCAATTTACAACTTCGGCTGCATTTCTACTGCTAGTAGATATCAAGCGATATTCAATGATGCGTCCGTTCGCTACAATTGGGGCCTGCCATGAGGCAGTAGCGTTTCTTGGTAGGATATCTGTGATAACCGGGGCAGAGACGCCATCCGGAGCATCTTGAAAAGTGCGGTAAACCTTGCCATCGTCCAAGCTTCTAGTCTGACCCGACGCTGTGTACGCAATGATGTAATAATGATACACAGTGTCAGGAGTGAGAGAAGAGTCATTGTATGTTTGGTTTAACCCGCTATAAACCAAGCTTCCATTTCTGTACAGCTCGTATCGTAAGATAATGCCGTTAGGGTTGTCAGGCGGAGACCATGTCAACATCATAGCACGAGAAGACAGGACTGTCACGAATGGTGCAGGCTGTTCCGATGGCGCTGAAATAAAAAGCAATACAAGGTTTAGTGTCACCTTGTATCGAGAGATAGAAAGATCAGTTTTCCTTACCGATTTCCATACATCGTTTCTAATGTTAGTTGCGACAATTTCGTAGTGCATTAACGACTTCCCCTTGTTGAATTTTTTTCTTTCATATCTACGACTTCATAGCGACAAAGAACTACAATAAAGGCTTTTTAATTCTGTCACAAAATAACCATGCAAAATGAAAACAACAATAATTGGAAAGGTAAAATAACGCCATCAGGGCCATCTTCTTGAGGAAGCGAAGCTATGTTGGTTCTCGCCTGGGTAACCGGGTTGCAGTGTTTAATATTAGGATGTGATTTCTAACTTCTCACATAAACACACTGAAATTTTACAAAGGAAACAATGATGAGACCAGATATCGGAAATCCTGCGGTTGACCGGGTCCGTATAATTAAAGAGGTCCTACTAACTATCTTAAGTTAGTCGTTACGATACTTCTCCTAATTCCAATTCAATACATACCTCCACTGCAGCCATATTTGTTGTTCTGTTGCAGATTAACGGTGCCGTTTTTACACTGATCACACTTATCACCTTTCACGTTGTCTTTACACTGGCATTCTCCTCTTTCATTGCACTGATTGGTTAGACTGCCTGCTGCGTTGCAGTTACAAGGTGTACAGCTAGCAGAATAAAAATTATTGCACACATTAATACGTTTTATAACTAGAGAAAGGCAAAAAAAACCTTACATGGTTGCAATCCAATAATAAAAATTGCTGTTTATTAATTGTTGATATCGCACGGCAAGTTAGTCTGGAAGGCGAAACCAGGGCTCGGAATAAAAAAAAAAAAAACTTGACTTCCAGCCTGCCCTTCGGACAATTAGCTGTCAAATTGTGCTCCCCCCGGGCAAGTCTCGATTGCTGATCCGTTGTCCAATCAGGCAAGTGCGAATGAAAAGTTACTTGCCCGGCAGGAATATCGACTTCTCCCGAATGACCGGACGGCACTTTTTTCGAGCCCTGGAAACATTTATTTAAAACGACAAAAAATAAGATGAAACCACCATATTTCCCTCCTCCCCTTGATGAGAATAGCTGCACAACATTAAAGTCAAATAAAGTCAAAGCGAACATTCAAAGCATCCCTTGAATGAGACACTCATTTTGGCGGGAAAAAATTGAAAGCCGTCGGCGCGAGTATTCTTGTGAAGTTTGTCATAAGTGGCAAAAAGAAGTTCTCGTTTTGGTAGATAAATGCATACTTTTACAAGCACGAAGTGACAGAACTACCCTTAAGTAACTTCACTTGTACTCATATATTTTACTCACCTTCCAGTAGTTATAAAACCATAGTAACCATCAATGCATCTGTCACATTGCCGTCCAGTAATATTTGCCTTACACATGCACTGACCGGTATCGTTACAGTTTCTTCCGACAGACCCAACGGAGTTACACTGACACTGTACACAGCCTTGTCCTGTAGGATTCCAATAATATTCAGCGACACAAGAGTCACAGCGTAGACCAGAAACACTGGACAGACAAAAGCATTGGCCATTACTGGAACACTGGAGTTCATCTAGGGAAAGAAGAACAAGGGTTAAGTCGGAGGCTATGCACTCAATGGCTACAATACCGCTAAGAAGAAATGAAACTTATTATACAGTCACGTACTTCCCCTGGCCATGAGCTTACTAGCCCGATAAAACATCATGATATGGAGCTTAATTAAGCAACGACGTCGAGGGCAACGCCTTGTAAAAATGAATTTACGGTATATTTTACCAGCAAAATTCGTAATTGTCTAGATCTCTTCAGTACGCCAATGGCTCTAAAAACGTGCTCAGGCTAAATATGCAATGACAGTGTTCAATTCCAAATGGAAATACAAAAATTTAGCTGACATTTCATGTTGCTGTTTTGTGAAAGGAAGGCTAAGAAATGTACCAAGATTTATAACGCACGTGCACAGCCATTGTTCTGCTTTTTTTCTTTACCTTGAAACGTTTTCTCCATTCTGACGGTACCAAGGTTCAGGTAAAAGAATTTTAAAAAATTGTTGTACGCCTCAAACGTACAACAAGGTTTAAACGCTGAAGTTACAAGTTACATTAACGTTTAAGTAACTTACAGCACAATCAGAAATGTGGTTTGGGTCACAATGCTTTCTTTTATACAAAATATTCTGAATAATGCTAACAGTTAGAAAATGCTGTAAATCAAAACATTAAAACAGAAAAAAATAATGACGAGTTCATTCAATGGCAAAAAGGGTTCCAACATTGTAGGAACGCGCAGTGTTTTACCCGTCGGTCCACACTACAACACTTGGAAACGCAATCTGGTTTCCAATGGTCCGTTTTGGATCCGCATCAAGCCCGTTCGGTTACTGCTGACCGAAAACGCGCGGGCTCTAGGGAAGAGATTGTCGTTGGTCATTTCCGCAGGTGACGTGATGTCAGTGTTTTCCACAGGCCCCGTTTTCAATGTTCACTCCAATATAATAGGGCTCCGTTTTTAACTGTCTCCACTCTGGACAGCGCGTTTACGATGAAAATGATAAGCGTCAGCGATCGTATTATGTTGATGGTAGGCGAAAACCAATATTCAAACGAAATCGCATAATTATAGACAGGGTTTTAATTAAAATATTAAGTCACGGAGGAATAGGAAAGAAAAAGAAGGCAACTAGACAGAGCTTTCCTTTTTAAGTTATCCGGTTTGCGTTTTATCAGGACGCTCAATCTAACAGTGGTCATTTTAGTTTTAAACCAACTTAGGGTATCAAATTCAATGACACGAATTTTAAAACGGCAACCATCACTCCTTTCACTTTTAGATGGAACGTTCCCTACAGTGGGGGAGGGGGGCGCACGGTCACACTCCTCATTTGTTAAACCATTTTGACAGTGATCATGCACAAAGTTTACGATTGCAGGAGTTGTAATTTCTTTAAGCTTGCGAGACTTCACTTCATAAGTGTTTCATAAATACATGTAGGACACTTCCCGCATGTTTGATCATTAGCCTGTGTGTGATTCATTCTTACCTGGTCTCTTCGTGTCGCCATCTCTAGTTCCTTTTGGAAAGCAGTTACAAGGTTGACATCCATTAGGATTTGATTGGTTCAGACCATATGTCCCCAGCTTACACTGATTACACCTCTGACCAACCACCAGCAGCTTACAAGTACAGTTTCCAGACTGCTGCTCACACTGTCCCGATCCCCCCGCAGTTCCTTTGATGTCACATGCACACTGGACACAGCCCTGAGGGTTGCTCTGTGATAGATTATAAAAGCCTTGTTTACATTGATCGCAGTTGTTGCCTTCCACATTAAGCTTACAGTCACAGCGGCCAGTATTTTTGTCACACTTGTTCAAGAGTGACGGTTGAGTTCCGGCAGCAGAACAGTTGCATGATGAACAACCATTTTGTGTAAGGCTGTGGTATCCATCTTCACACTGATCGCATTTCCTTCCAATTGAACCTGGCTTGCAAGAACACTGTCCTGAAACCGCGTTACACGTGTTTACATTCCCAACTGTTGTTCCAAATGGATCACAGTCACATGTTTTGCAGCCTAAAGGCTCCACACCCGACAGCCCCCAGTATCCAGGCATACAGGTGTCACACTTTGTACCTGTCACTCTGTCTTTACAGTCACACTGCCCTGTTGTTGCGTGACATGAAATGTTCCGGTTTTTGGTGCCATCCAGTACGCATCCACACGCAACACAGCCAGTTGCGTGACTTGCTTTGAGGTCAAAGTAGCCATTCTCACAGACATCACATTGACGACCTTCAGTGTTGGCTTTACATTCACACTGACCAGCCAGGACATTTGAATCTGAATCATCCTAGATGTTAACAAGATTAAAATGAAAAAGAGGACATGCTGGATGTACTCATGACATTAAAGGAGCTCAGTCACAGTATTTTGAGTTATTTTGGCCACGTACAAAATCACCTTTAAATTGAAGGAAACCTGAAAACAGCAGTTCACTAAGATACATGTAGAAAAACACTAAGGAGATAATAAACCATAAAGGAACAAGGATGGACAAGGATGGAGAAGATTAACACGGATTACAAACGACGAACTTGAAAAATTTACGCTAAACTTTTCAAGATGAGCAAACCGTGACATTGCTCCTTTAACTAAGTAAATACTTAGATACATGCGACACTAATTGTCACACAACAGTGTTTTCCAGTAGGACAGTGTGTGTCCAAGCTACATCGTAGAACCGATCCCATAACACCTCCTGTCTTAACAAAAGAAGTACTGTAGTGAGATCTACATGTAACTGCCCCTACCCTACTGAGTAACGCACTAACCTTAACACAGTCCAACTTTCCAGACTGAACCCCAGGCCCCTCACATCCACAGGGTGAGCACACACCAGGCGACTTAAGACTCTTGCCAGACTCCCTGTAGAATCTTTCCTTGCATGCCTCACAGAATCGGCCTGTGGTGTTGTGCTGACAGTCGATACACACGCCTCCACCTCCCTGGGTACGTGAGTTGGGACTGGTATCCAGAGATTGATTGTAAACACAACTGCTGGCATGCTCGTTACACTCACACTTCATGCATGGGTATGAATCGTCTTGGTCTCCTCGTTGGAATGGTTTGTTATTGTACAAAGGCTTGCATCGATTACACTGAAAGTTAAATGATAAATTTTACATACCGTTTGAAAGTATAAATGAAATGCATAAATATCTTGTGTTGTTTCAGAAAAGATCCATACTACTCTCATGAGGGTTTGTTTGTTTGCCTCTGCCCTCCCCCCCCCCCCATTCCTTTAAAAGTTTTGACTTTTGAGACCCCCCTCCCCCTTGGAATCTTCGTGAACGTTCCTTGAGGTGGGTGTGGATACATTCTAGAACTGCACATTGCGATAAAATATTGAACAAGGGNCCACTCCCAACTCAATGTTGAATTTTGAGACCCCCCTCCCCCTTGGAATTTCTGATAACCCTCCTTGGGCTGAACATGGATACTTCCTGAAACCAGGCAATAAAAAGAAATATTAAATACATATTAACACAAGCAGAACACACTTACAGTTTCCCCTTCAGTGTTAGTTGAAGAGTGACAGTCACAGACACAATACCCCGGGTGTGTAGCATTCCCTTCAACGTAACTGATGGATGAGGCGTGCCCAAAACATTCACACCTAAAGAGGCAACAAAATATAAAATGTCCTGGATAGTCCTCTTTAATAATGCTCTTAACACATTTTAATGCTTCATTTATAGCGTTACTGGTTAAGTCTGTATACGAGCCAAGTGACCCATCAGGCCAGAGCTTATTCCGGTTTCAGTAGCATGAAGCAACTAGGAGTATTTCTACTCCCCCCTGGATGGGATGCTAGTCCATGGTAGGGTTACCCCCAGCATAATGTTCACCAGTACCCATTTATACACCTGGGTGGAGAGAGGCACTGTGAGAGTAAAGTGTCGTGCCCAAGTACACAACACAATGTCCCCAGCCAGGGCTCCAACCCGGATTGCTTGATCCGGAGACGAGTGCACTAACCATGAGGCCACTGTGCCTCCCATATAGCGTTATTGGGCAGCTAACTTTTTGTTTTTACATGTAATATTTAATAGGAATTTGTATTTCAAAACTTCCCTTTTATTTACCTTTTTAAATCTTTAGTTTTACATGGTCCCACAAGCTGTTGCTCAGCTTTAAATTTTACTGTGTATAAATTAGAGTTGATTGATTGATTGACTTTCAATCACAGGATAATCAGGCTAATTACATACATTATTTAGAACATAGTGAACATGTGTTGGTGTGCTAACCTGCCAGTGACAAGAACTCTCTCCAAGCCATAATATTTATGTTGAGGATTCTGTACCAGAGTGTGATTGTGGAAGCGAAATTTGACATGGGTGGCTTTTAAGAACTGCAGCAGACTTTCTGAGCAATATAGGTTGCTGCAACCTTGACCAAAAGGCCGCACGGGAATATTGGAACCTTGGGGTGGCGGATATTCTGTCTGAAAAGTAAGCACCTCTCGGCTGGATAGCAATGGCCTGTAATAATATAAAATGTAACATCATTGTTGAAAACAAATGGACTTGAAATAAATGTACAGTGTAGTAGGGTTTGACACAATTATATGACAAAACTCACTTAAGAGTTCAGATATTACAAAACATGAAAAAAATATGGGAAGCACAGTTCAGGAACAGGGAGAATTACTTAAGTCAAGAATAACTGAAATTAGTAGCCACTCTGTGTTCTATTAGAAATCTGCAAATCTGATTGGTACACTCATCGCTCTCCATTCACTGATAGGCATTATGATCCTGTGCACTCTGCACTTAAACTGAAAATTATTGCTAAAGAGCGATAGTCAACTTGGCTGTGCCTCATTGACTATTCACTCATAGAAAACTTTGGCTCCTAGTCTAATTGTTCAATAGTTGACATACAGAGGTTAAACTGACAAAGGTTTTTCAATGACTCTTTAGATAAAAGAACTCACTTGACATATTGGACACAATTGACCGAGTCAGGTTGTGTAAGAGGACCGTTGTTTTGTAAGCTAAATGAAGAAACACAGTCTTCAGCAAAATACTGCCAAGGATGGAAAGTTCTTCCATTGTCTGTTGATCGTAAGATTTCCAGTCCCCCTGGCACTGGTCCATAGAATGTCAAAACAATGTAGAAGACCTAGAAAACGAAACAAACTCTGTTGTCATCTAACAAGCTATTTATAGCCTGCGTTACATTATGAAACATCAAATTTACAGAGACTGTAAAAAATGGTAGTCTGTCTACATATTAACATTTAAGAATTTGGTATTTTATACTGATGAGAAAGAGATCTAAAAGTTGTTATTCTGTATCCGATCTCAGGTCTTTTTTTCCCACTCACTGAAGGTTTCTTTTTACTTATATTAGTAAATTATAAATTCAAATTATAACTTACAATATTTAGTATTAACCATTACTAACTATTACTGTCATAAGGAATTTTTTCTCAACAGCATGCACATGTACAGGGGTTTGGAAAATCTTCACAAAACATTTTATGACATATTTAATTTAATTAATAATTCTACATGTGAATTTTGTACCAATTTTCTTTGAAATGCATGGTCTCAATATAACCCCCACACAACTCTGCTTACAATAGTTAAACTACAGCCTCATGATTTAATATTAAAGGTGACACAGTGATGTCATACATGTTTCACTAGTCAGGAGCCTCAGTATTTGAAAATGAAAAAAAAAAAAAGAACATTACCTGCAAACCTGAATAAGACAAATTTATGTCAATGGTTACACTATTTGTGATCTCAGACAGCCAGAAGCTTAGGGTGTCGCCATCAGTAGCAAACTCAATTGGGTGTGCTGTGTCTGCTAGGCGGGATACAGTATCGAGATCTCCTTCTAAGTTTTTCAGACACTTAGCTGGTTCAGCGACATTTATTTTTGGATGAGTAGGTGGACAACGGCAACTGCTAGCAACATATGCAAACGGGAGCACACCAGTAAATGCCTCAGTTGCTTCCCTGAAAAAATATTGCAATATGTTAATTTCATTACCTACAACAAAGTCAATAAGCTATTTCCAAGTTGCTATTTTAATACCTGTGTTTCTCAAACTCATTGATAATTCATCAAGTTAAAACAAAGAAAATCACAGCGTGAAGGAGGTTTGGACTCCCAGTCTTAATAAGCATAGATTCTGACAATTTTACTTCTCCGTTTACTCCTAAGGTTTTGTTTCGATTGAGAAGATAAATCAAACACTCGAGACAGTGTTTCATAGGCTATCCAAACACCTTGAATTTTGTCAAAAATACTCAGCTGTGCACTGTATTTTCAACTCTCTTCTCGGTGGTTGGATATCTCAATGAAACACTGTCTCTTGTGTTTGATATATTACTTCAAAATGAGTCCTGGTGCACAACCTTTAATATAGAAATGAGTTCTTCAAATGATTTGTTATACAATGAAGGTGCGAGAAAAACTCATTTGTGTGAATGGTTGTGCACCTAAAGACCCATTTTTCAAAGGTAAGCAGACAGTCAGTCTGAGTCAGTCAGTCAGTCAGTCAGTCAGTCAGTTAGATGGTTAACTAAATATGAGCTCAGGCTGAAAAGGCTCTTAAAAATGTCAATTTGTTGCATTTTTGTTGCTATCAACTGAAGATTAAATTCCATGTTTACCTGTTGGTCAAAGCTCTCTCATACATAAAGATGTCTAGCATCAACCCTTCATACTGCCACTCAGCGTCACCTAAAAAAGTCAAACAAGGTTAAGTCTACAACAAACAAAAATATTCCACCCTGCTGGCTTGGCTTGATCCAGTTTTAGTAAGAAGGAAGGAGTTAGTATTAAATACCTTCTTCTTTTTGCATGGGATGCTACATGTAACTACATGTAGTACATCACAGAGCTAACCCAGTCAGGATCAAATTGCTAGTTACCCAATCACAATTTTTTATATACTTGTTGTAGGTCAATTTGTTCTGACTTTAGGTCAGAATGACATTTTCAACCTACTGTAGGTTAATTTGTGTCAAAGGGGAAGGTGGAGCCCGGAGACCAATAAAATTATTAGACCAACAATTTTTAGCAAATTTGCAACGATTGCTTGCGTGGCCTAGTGGAGATGAAGATGGACTACAAAGTTAGAGATCAGGTGTTTACATTTAGGTAAGTACAAAAGAAAAATGATCTGGGGGTGGTTAGGGTTAGGGAGGTTGATATGGGATCCTGTGAGAGTTAAGTGTACTGCCCAGCTACACAATGCAATGAATGGCTCCCCAGCCAGAGCTCAAACTTGGACTCCTACTTGATCCAGTAAGCAGTGCAATAATAAGTTTTAACCATTAATTGGGCCACAGTAAAAAAGATAAAGTCTGCATACAAGCCAAGTGGCCCATCAGTCCAGCGCTCAACTTTGGTTTCAGTAGCATGAAGCAACTAGGAGCATTTCTACTCCTCCCTGGATGGGATGCTAGTCCATCACACTGGGTTATCCCCTAGCATCAAATCTGTGGGTACCCATTTGTACACCTGGGTGGAGAGAGACACTGAGAAAGCAAAGTGTCTTGCCCAAGAACACAACACAGTCAATGTTCCTGGCCAGGTTTTGAATCCGGACTGCTTGATCCGGAGATGAGCACACTGACCATGAGGCCACCCCACCTCCACAATTGGGTCACAGTGCCTCCCACCATTATTGTCACTTAACATGGCTTAACATGAACTGTAGACTTGGCAAGACCACTAACCTCCATATTTTTGTCCAATTCGAACACCACCTCCTGAATCAGAGATAGGTCCAGTCAGAGTGGCAACATTTGCATTCATGAGTTCTCCATCAATGTAATATGACAGTCCTTTGTTAATAACCGCCACAGTTATTAAATGCCACTCATCTGCTTGAAGCTTTTCACTTTGGCTTTGTAGAAGGGTGTATGAGGCAACAGATGCATTACCAGTAGTCGGCCGATAGTAAAACATCAGGTTATAATCCTGAATGACAAGTTGAAATACATTGGCATAATCTGGTGGAATGTTTTCATCTTTGGAAATAATTGTCCTGTAAGTTGAAACAAAGATGTCAGTAACTAATGAATTTTCAACATTATTCATGCAATTCTTATTTTAATTTATTATTTTTAGAATTATTTACTGTGTGGCCAAAAAAAGTAGATGATGATGGGCAGCTGGAAAGAGACTGCTATTAATCTTCTTTGGTTGAAAGATGTTGTTGCAATTTTGCCAACTGTCTTTGAGGAAAGTCTAATATATCAACTCTATAGAATGGTAAAAGAAATCCAACTGGTGCGAATGTTGTTGTTCTCCTTGTTCACAACTTAAAAGCATCATGAAAGAACTAATACATGTAAAAGAGATGGAAGAGCTTAGGACTACTGCCATCATTTTGTCAACAAAGGACGATGTGCTTCAGCTGATTGGAGAAGCAAAATACAAGCTTGTTTTTGGAAGACTGTGGAAGCCTTTTTGGATGTAAAACGAGTGCCACACTGTGTAACACCTTCAGAATAAATTCTCCGCAGATATGTAAGACGTCTTGCCAAGATTCCTCAAGGGAATACTGTAGCATAACAACAAGCGCATATCCTACGAAAATCAGGAGGGCCACTTGATTTTGCCTTTCTCCCCCTTTAAGCAGCTTTTTTTTGGAGCTGAAGATGTCGTCTGGGACAACATTCTCAACACTCGAATGCACATACCTGTTGTTGTTTGCAAACTGATACTTGTAATCAATTAAACAAGCAATTTACCGCTCAAATTTTATTGGTCCAGTTTAATTAACTGGTCAAGGGGTGGAACTATTAGCAACAAGGTGATAACAGTGGGAGGAGCTTAATAAGTCCACATTTTTCCAAAGATGTCTAGTCTCTCTATTCTTCTTACTAGCTTAACTCACAGACCCCACCCCACCCCTCTCCCTTACCCCTGAATGCTTTGTGCTAGCTTTGCTTGCTTTTTCTTTTGCGTGCCTAAATAGAGAGGCTGTGAACAGTCTATTGTTTACCTAATTTAAAGGAGCTCAGTCATGGCATTTTGAGTCGTTTTTGCCATGTGCAAATTAAGATACCTCAAAATTGAAGGAAACCTGTAAAATGGTTGTAATTACTAACTTAAGATAGAAAAACAGCAAAGAGATAATAATAAGCCATAAGGAAACAAGGATAGTTAAGGATGTAGAAGATTATCACGGATTACAAATGCCGAACTTCAAGATCCGTAAATTGTGATGTAGCTCCTTTAAAGTCATTACAGCATACCCTGGATTCTGACTTTGATCGAGTTTGATTGAAATGTGTTCAATAAATATGTATAAAGTCTTGAATATAAACATCAGGACTAAACGACAGGTCACCTTATAGTAATTAAACCCGCGGGATTATGTCCTCAAAGGCACGTACTCCTAAGATGCCTCATAATAGAAAAACATTATGATATCAACAGGGCTAGGGGAGTGGGTTACGATGTTCATGCAGGAAACTGTCTGCCGTCAATGCTAATCCGTGAATTAAATTTGGTAACTGAACATAAGACTTACTGGAGACTCATATGAGAAATGGGTAATCGAACGCCGCACCGATTGTTTGAATCTTCGATTTCTAACCACAGCCTGATCTATACACAGGTTTATGTTGTTAATTTTGATTCAGCTTGTTACTAAACCTCTAATGAAACAACAAACTGTTGTACCGCTACGTTCGATACCTCAATCGGAGTGAGTTTGATTGGGTTCGATCAAATAACAGCTCAATGCGACATTACACCGGGCCGGGAAAACAGCTGCAAGCCTTGGGTCTACTCCTCCTTTCACAACTAGAACCTACATGTCGCTCTATTTAACTTACCCCTTATTTCCTTTCTTCTGTTTAATCCACACGCTTATAGTGAATCCGGGGTTCACGTAGTTTATTGCAGGAACCCTAAGAGGCCGTATATGGGAATCACCTTGAAATCTAAACGATCTGACAATGGTCCCATTTCTCGGATCACCGTCTTGTGTGACACCAAATTTATCCGAAAATTCCGCCAAATCTGAAGGCACGGGTTTACTTGAACCACAGTTTGCACAACAATCAAATTTGCACGTTTGCTCAACGCAAGTTTGCAAAGAAGTCTGTCTAATGGAAGACTCGCAATATTTACTAGTTGTCGAACCGCACGTCGACGTTGAAGTTATGGGTTTAAGTTCTGCAAGGTCTGCTAATTTCGGAAAATAACCTTGACCATACGTCGATGAAATATGCCAAATGAAGAGCAGAAAGACGAAGTTTAGTTTCTTTTGGAATCTCCAGCGAACGTTCAAAACCATCGTGGGCAAGAACATTGTCGATGCGGTCGAATTCAGCTGGTACTTGACATCAAGTAGTGTCGAACACAAAATACAAACAACGAATATTAGAAGGCGAAATCTTTCGAATGGCGATAGCGTATCATCTCGAAGTCACGCACGTACAAACGACCAAGTCTTCCATTTGGGAAATAACTACCTAACAATACTTAAAGTTGTATAATCACTGCAACGATCGAATCAAGTTTTGGTATGTAACTGTACATTAATTTCCTGATGGCGCTTATGGCTTGTTGTTGATTGGTTAAGAACGCTTGGCAACCACGTCGCCATGGGTAAACCGGGGGTAAACCAAGTGAATATGAACAAACTTTTTTACACGTGAGTTTTATTCAGTGTATTCAAAGTTTCAGAAGAGAATAAGAATGCAAAAATACAGACCAAGAGGGTTATTATTCCAACAGAGTCATTGTTGTCAAGTAAGCTATACAAACGGCAACGAAATCAAAGAATCCTTCCTTGTTCAAAAATTTGAGAAGTTTTCACAACTACTGAGGAACGTTGGGAATTTATTCATCCATATTTGGAAATGCTAATTCGATTCCAGGTCCAACGCGTTAACGAGCGTCGAAATGGCGGCTTCAGCGCAAGTCAGTGGAAGGCCACCTTCTGCATCGCCAAATAGTTCATCTATGGAACTTTTAAATGTGCTGAGAGGGTTAGCATCCTGCTCTAAGGGTTGCTTAACTTATGACTCTGATTGGAAGCCGACTAAACAAAATTTGGACGAATGTTCAAAACCACCTTTGTTGCCCTCAAATTTGTCGACTGTTTCACCGTCTTCCATTTCTGTTGGAGCAAAAACCAGTTATATTTTATCGCCAAATGCCGCAGAAGAGAAATCAAGAGATAAAACAAGGCACAGTGATGATTTTTCTATCAGCAGTTTCGCTTCAAGCGTGGAAAGTGACTTAGAATGCGAGAGAAGTGAACGTTTAAAAAATGATGAGTTACATGTACTTGAAAAAGAACTTCAAGCAAACTTCGACAGTACACATGTCGCTATTCATCAGTACGAAATAGAAAAGAAGCATCAAGCAGGAGAAAGGCTGAATTCTAGAAAAGAGAAATTTTCGGAGAATTCAAAAAAACTTCTCGATGCGAAAAATCAGTATTTGAGACAGAAGGAAAATGAGAGGGTGGATGAGGTTATCAAATCAGTGCAGGCATTACAGGAAGATGAACAAAGGAAAAGTGAAGAGGCCAGACTGCGTCAACAGAAACTTGAGCAATCTCACAGAGAGTTTAAAGAAAGAGCAGCTAGGAAAGTCAAAGAAGTAGAGGAATTACGGTTAAGAGTGCTTAGGCAAGAACAGCAGATAAAGAAAGAATTAAAGAACCTTGAAGTTTCTTGGAACAGCGTTAAAGAAACCGCTGTCAAAATTCAACAAACATTCCAAGGTTGTAAATTTCAGTCATTGTTACCACCATCCGTGTCAGAAATACAGAGAGAAGTGAACAAAGTATTAGAAGTTACTCAAAACAGTCTTGATAGTGCTCATGAAAACGGTCAAGCAACTGAGATGAATGTGAAAATAATTCAGGACTGTACTGTCCTGATTCAAAGCTTATTGCAAAAAGCAAAAACCCTTGTTCATGAGGCCAATAGCAAGGCTGCTAAGGAAGAAGCTGAACGCCAGGCTAAAGAAGAAGCAAAAGCTAAAGAAGAAGAAGAAAAGAGACAGCAAGCCTTGAAAGCTTCCAAAGAGAAACAAAGCAACCAGCCATCAACAGTAACAAGTCAAACTTCAGATTCCAAGGGACAATCAAAGCCAGGAATCTCAAAAGAGCTTTCTTCTTGTATCTCAGCTGTAGCATGGAAGGAGTATTCAAGGTTAGCATCTTACAAAACTCAGATTGTTGAGTCTGCTGAGCAGCTGAACACAGACAAATCATTGAAGCAGTATAAATTTGACCTTCACAAGGCTGTTACTACACCCATCAATGCCATTTCTGACCAGTCACCTAGTCATCTGCTGGACAAGATTCAGCGCTTGACCAAACTACTGTCTGGGCAATCTGTACAAGTTGGAGGAAAACAGATCTCAATTTCCAAGCATTCAGCAGCTAAGGTAGGTTACCTTTAATTTAAGTATAAGCCCAGTTCACTACAGTACATGTACATGTAAGTGCCTTGAAGTCCTAATCAGTGACAAAAGGTTTTATACAGTTTGATTACGCTTTGCAAGAGAGGTTGGTTAAGAACTGTTATTGATAGTAAATTAATTTGTTGAGCCAGAAAAAAATCCTCCCACTGAAGGTTTTTGGCATGCATCTCCCATCCCTCTGGATGTCATACTTTTCTTCGAAAACTTTGACTTTTGAATACCCTACCCTCTTGCATTTTTCAGTGACTTTCCCTGGGGTGGGTATGTATATTTCCTGGAACTGCACATTACAGTGATCCTTGTTACAACTTGCACCTACTCAGGCAGCTCCCTTTGTATTCCAGTATACCACTTGTAAGTTGCTAAATATGAGCCGCATAAGACCACAATAATATTATTTACAATGTAACTTTATTTCCAGCCTTTCTGTAAAGAGCTTCTTGCAAGGAAACTGGTGCAGCAGGGTTCACAACAAGTTTCGTCCAGTCAAAGTTCAGCTTTTCCCATTGCTGCAGTTATCACAGGCATGTGGTCAAGTTTTCCTGATGTTGGCGATCTCATTCTGGCACAATTCTATGACCAGTGCCCATTCCTAGTGCCATTTTACATCCCAAGAGCGGCTGAACTGACAGATGCAGAGTACTTTGCATCACTTGGTTATCAGTGTTCAGAGGGAGAGATTGAAGAGCAGGATAAGTTCCTTAAGCGCATGACTGGACTTGTGCGACTGTATGCAGCTGTTATCTCTTCCATACCACCAAGTGGACAATCAAACCAACACCCTTATGGACTTAGTAATGGGTGGACATGGCTGTCGAGAATGTTGAACTTAGAGCCAAGACCTGATTACACTGCTACAGCTCTTTATGAATTCCTAGCTGTTGCGGGACATGCACTGATGAGGAAGTATAAAAAACAATTTGGAAAGTTGCTCAACACGCTAGTGTTAGACTATGTACCCAAGATAGAGAAAGTGACAGACAAGGCACAGAGTGGACCTGTTGTGAGATTGAAGGTGTTTTTAGAAGCATGTATCAAAGATCAGAAGATTCCTGTGCCTGATGGCTATCTTGCTCCACATTGGTGGCGTTCTTCCAGCTTTTAAAGCCATGTCTTGAAAGTGCTTTCTTGAAGAACAATATTTGAATAAAAATTATGTAGCTCCCATGCTTAGGCTCAGTGAAGGACCAGTGTTCAATGCAGATGCTGATTTGGATCACTGTGCAATCATTGTGCAATCTTTTGCTTTTTCACAGTCAGCCAAAACTACACTGACATACTCTCATCTCAGCCTTGATCATTATTTCAGACTTGTCCACAACTACTTGAAGTATGTTTTCATTGCATGGGGTATGCGTTGGAGCATGTTCTGCGTTATGTAGGTTGCATTCAGTCAGACTTGGTAGTGTTCAAATGGAGAACACAAGAGACAATGGGCATGCAAAATTTGCCTTTTGCCCTATCAATATACGAACACCAGGAAGATGAGTGAAAGTCAAGGGACTGGTTGTAGTCTTCAAATATTGTGCATAACTCCATGTGTCTCATCTAGTGAGTTGGTCATCTATTGAAATCTTTGCATTAAAGACTACCAATAATCAGAGGCTTTTAAAACTGCTTAATAACCGTAGGAAATGCCATTGGAGTCAATCTTAGTATCAAACTAGTGCAAATCTAAGTATAAAATAATTTACTTGATGACTGATGAGTTTCCTTAAGTTTTGAATAAAGATACCAATATTTTTTCTTGAATTGTCTAGAAGTATTTCAACTAGGAAACAGAGACAGGGCTTGAAAAAAACTTGAATTCCAGGTTTCCCTTAGGACATTCAAGTATCTCTCAAATATTGCTTGCTCTCGTTAAGTCTTAGTTTGTTCTTTTAAGGTGATTTCCTAGTAAAAGAACCCGCCATAGATTTGCGATGAAACTTGGTATGCTGTTGTTACAGGACAAGGAGATATTAGAAACGCAGTAAAAGGAGGGGGTCACCCGGCGTGCTTGTTTTCACGCCTCAATGCTGACAAATTCGGTTATTTAGGTGACTTTTGGTAATCTCCGTGCACAACAAATCAGTTTGATTAGTTTTCAATGCAGCATGTTATATCACACAGAGTTTGACTTTCTTTGATTGTTTATTCATCTACGTCTCAGAAAAAATGTCTTCAAATACCCTGCATTTTTTTATCCTTTAAAATTTGGACATGCGCTGTTGGGCCCGTTATGTCTCCCTCTGTAGTATGTGTTTCATATGCCAAAAAAGTAGCGGGCATAGATTTCTGCTAATATTTTTCTCAGTTATTGAGGATGTCGTTCTCAGTGAAATTATGAAACAAAAAGTGGGGGTCACCGTGCTCATATAAGAGAAAAGGAGCATTTATTTCACTATCAAGCTTAGTTTGAGGGAAATCTCTTACGTTTTGTATGTTCATGCCCTCATGTGCATGCGCTAATGACGCGAAAATTGTACACAGTAGGGATGCGCAATGCGATACTAAGGAATCACCTTAATGATTAATGATCCTTTCATGTAGGTCAAGTGAGAATGAAAAGGTACTTGCCCAAAAGGAGAATCTACTTGTCATGGATGACCGGACAGCACCAATCTCAAGCCCTGAGTGAACACTGGTTCATATTGATCCAACCTTGTACTTTTATTTCTAAGTAAAAGCAGACAAAATTGGCAGGCCTTACAATGTACATGATTTTTTCCCCTGAAATATGGTAAATACATGTATTTTTCATCAACATTATTTACTACCTTAGTTTACTTTGGTTTAGCCCTTGGGAATTTGGTTGGAAAAAAAGGGCTTGGCCAAGTTTGTGCTGAAGAATTAAAGTAAAAACGTTGAAACTTGAATTGTTCACTTGGCAATTAAATCTACTAATAAAAGGGATTTGAAGCTTTGAGATCATCCAACAAAGACTGTACTAAATCGCTGGTTGTCAGTTTCTTCTCTAACATGTCCTCAACAAGGCGGTTGGGTTCTCTTCCTCCTCCATAGGCCAGCATGGTGTGACGATACCTCTCACCTATTTCTCGGGAGAAAGGATCCTTGGCAAAGCACTGGTGCCAAACACGAGATGCTACAGCTCTGGACCACAAATATGAATAGTACTTTGCGCCATAACCATTGAGATGGCTAAAGCGTTGTTGCCAGGCTGTGCCTGCAAATCAAAGAAACATAAAATATGACCTGTATCCATGTACTGTCTTAAACAAGTTACAGTAGGCTCTGAACAGTAAGTTTCCACTCTCCCATGAGATGAGAGTCTTGAGAGATGGCACTCTTCTATAGAGAGACAAGCAAGAAGCTTTAAAAAGTTCTATGAGTACAACTGCTTGAACTTTTCTTGAGACTTCAATAAATAATCCAAACATGCAGAAACAGCCAAATGTAATGCTGAAAAACTTTATTTTGAGTACGCTTCATGATCTCCCATAACTCAATTTTAATACTTTCAGTCCCATTAAAAACCTTCTTGCTGTCATTAATATTGATACTGTTTTCCTGACTAACTGCCAATTTTTCTTTTGTAAAAATACCCTAAAACCTCTCTTTTTTGGCTTGTCAAGCTTAATTATTAATACCTCAAGGGTGTGCAGAGTCAGTTACAGTTGTAACTTGTGACAAAAGTTAAGATGCCTTTAATGAGAGGATCAAGTCCTTGATTCTTACAACCACAATTACTTAAAATTGTTACGAAAAGGTAGACAGAAGTAATTTTCAATCATTGATCATGACCACGAATGTGTCAAGAGTCTGTAGCATACCTGGTGCATGTGGAATCACTGTGTGCTGACTCTGAACATAAGCTAGGATATCTGTAGTTGAGCCATCAAGCGGGTGTCTACCGTGGTAAATCTGATCAATCATTGCATACAGCACCTGTCGCTGCATCTCCAAGGCACCAAACATAGTTCTCCCCTGACAAAGGCGCTGTGCAAATTCCTCTGGCAGGCTTTGGCCAGTTTTGTAGTGGCGTGCAAACCTTAGCAGCACTCTTGGATCCCATGCAAAGTACTCCATAAGCACAGAAGGAACCTCCGCAAAGTCTGTGACACATCTTGTACCTGTAACATGCTGATACTGAGTGCGAGCCAGCATAGAATGCATTGCATGACCCATCTCGTGAAACAAGTTTTCAACCATGTTGTGTGTAAGGAGTGGAGGGGATGACACTCCAGGTGAAGGAAAGTTGCAAACAATTGCAGCAACTGGAAGTTGATACGAGCCATCATCAAGCACACGACCACCTAACATGAAAGTAACAACGCTGATCAGCCAATAAGACATATCAGTATTTAATATTGGAATGGCTACAACAAATATTTGTAACACCTATACTATGTATGCCATAACCCTGTGCCAAATAATTTTCCATCTGGCCTTCTCATTCATTCAATATATGTACATGCAAGTGTCAATGTCTCAGCGTGTGAATGCACTGAATTGTGTATAACTATTAAAGAAGTGACATTGTGGGGCCGCACAGCCTTCTACTGACCAGTACATGTACATGTCAACCCATCGGGCCCTATAATTATTGACAAAATGTCTGTAGAAATAATATTATATTTCTTGAAGTTAAAAGGCGCACACTACACACATACCTCTGATGGTAAAATGTGAATCCTGTGGTAGCTTCTCTTCTCTGCTAAAGAAGTCACAGTAGATGTATCCTAGCAACCCCTCTGTTTCATGTACCACACGCAGTTTTTGCACATCAGAAGACCACAGCTCTCCTTCAGCTGGTTCCTGGGCTTGTAGTGATATCCCAAACAGGTCCTTAAACAACATATCTAACCCATCCATACAGGCACCAAGTGGAAAATATGCTGATGTGGTTGAACGGTTCATCTTAACAGACTGATACCTTGCCAATCCAGAGTAGTAATGCAGATCCCATGGCTCAATGTACTTCACGGTTGGATTTTGTGTTGTGTCTTTCTTCAAGCTAGTTAATATTTGCATTTCTCTTTCTGCTGGACCACGAAGCATATTTGCTGCTTGTGTTAGAAAGTCCATGACATTTTCTGGAGTTTTTGCCATTGTTCCCATTAATGCATGATGTGAATAGCTGGGAAAGTTGACCACCTGAGCAACTTGATGTCGAGCCGTGAGAAGAAGATCTAGAATCTGCAGTTGTGACTTTTCTGGTTTTAAACAAGCCATGTAAATCAGTTTACGCAGCTCCTCATTGTTTGAATCAAGGAATGCAGAGTCTATGATTACATGATCACCGCTTACTGGATAAAAGTGGGCAACTTCATCAGCCATTGGAAAATGAGACAGCGGAACACAGACAGGTGATGACGTCATTTGAGAGAACTGGGTGCCAATTACTAATAGAGCTTCTTGAAGCTCCACAAAATGTCTCCGTTTTTCCGCATCCAAATGAATTCCACTCTTTTCAAAGTCAAATAAGAACAGCTCTGCTACTCTTCTAGTTTCTTCATTCATCTGATGTTTGTCGCTTGATAAAAGCTTTCCTAGTACATTGTACAAGCCTGGAGTTGTATTGAGTTCTTCAACATAGCCACTTATTGCCCTCGAGGTATCTTCTGCAGCACCTCGCACTTGATGATCGGGATGTGTCAACCTAACAAACTCTGCCAGATCAGCTGCAACACATAAGGTGTTGGACAACTTGTCAAACAGCGCCACAAGACGTGGGGTTGGGGAAGATTGTAGAATTTCATCCACAATTGTAACACCTTCAGATAAGGTTCGATTTTTGAGTACTGAAAATCCAGAAGTGCTAGTTAGTTCCTCTACGCCAAAGAGACCAGTAGGCTCTAAATAACGATCCTGTTTCGGATGTGGGGAATTAAACGCTGTAGCTAAAGGAGTCCACGTGGTTACGGTGAACTTTGCCTGTCTTCCTGGAATTGGGATATTTCTTCTCCATTGTAAGGCTAAATGACGGCTTTGTGAAGTAAATCTAGCACTTAAAAGCGTCCTCATGATTTCCAACGTTTTATATCAGCTATCTATCTGGTGTACTTGACGAAAATCTCAAAAACGTTTCCACGCAAAATCAGCCATGCTCTCGGACGCCATATTTAACTCCGACAGTGTAGTGAAGTACGTCATGTAAAGTGGAACAAACGTTATGTCATGTACCAAGTTGAATTTTTTTCTCCGTGGTGGACGGTACAAACGTATGGGTTTCTTTCCACTTTATTTTATGAGAAGATTTGGATAGATGATATTAAAACCTAGGATAACGTATTCTATTTATGAGGTAACTTTTACTTTGGTTATGGAGATGTAAATTGATTCAAAAACTACCCTCACCCTACCCTCCAGTTACCCTACCCTGTGCCGACTTGCAATGTTTGCCCCCTGACGATCCCAGAGTTCTTTTCGCAAACACGGGTATCCGATTACTGGCAACTCATTCATTGAGTACGATTTTTCATGACCACTTACAAAAAGTAGTCAATCATCCCCTTCCAACAACGCAGTCATGTTTCTTCTCGTTGTTATCATCGTCATAATTCTGATCATTAACTTTGTCCTCGACTGCGATATTATTCTCAAGTTCAAAGAGAGGTTCGGTGCCAAACCAGCGGAAAAACTTCGTGGTAAAGTGGTGTGGATCACGGGTGCTTCTAGCGGTATTGGCGAGCATTTAGCTTACGAACTGGCAAAATGTGGCTGTAAATTGGTGCTATCTGCAAGAAGGAAAGAAGAATTGGAGAGAGTGAAAGAAAGTTGTATTGGTAAGCTTCATTATGATCTTCATGAATTCGAAATATCTTCCTGCTCGTATGTGTAACTAAGAAAGGGTCTGACTTCTTATAAGGCTTGGTCTCCCACATACATACACCACTTTATACCCCACCCGGAGCCGTTGACGAGGCCGGCGCGCCGGGGGGAGGGGTGGGGGATGTACTCCCCAGGATTTGGTGGGGTACGGGTGTGCGGCCTAAAACTTGAAACCCGTACCCCCATCTCAGACCTCTAAAATTACAACAGGGCCCTAATATTAATGACCGCAGGTAACCTTCCATTCGCATAAACATTTAAGAAGGGTTATAAATTTGCCGTAAATTAAGTCAGAGTGAAAAATATCAGACCAAATGGTCAAAATCAGAAGCATATAGCCTTTCAGGGCTATATTTCCTCTGTTAAAATCTATAACCTTTTTCAAACCAAAACAGCTCCAAAACCACACCCTTTGCGGCTGCACATACCTATACAGCCCACATAAGGGAATACCCCAGGTGACAAATAAAAGAGGACCAAAGTGCTGAGCAGACATAATGTCCCCCTCAGAAATAATCTGATTGCTCTTTACCCCACTCAGATTGAAAAAGCCATTTTTCTTCCCAGTCCCCTCATAAGTGTTCAAAGATCAAAATATGATGCTGACAGTGCAACCCCCTCAGAAAATATGATTTTTCATACCAAACAGAAAGTTATAACCAGGTAAAGAGGAAAGGTGTGAAAAAAGGAAAAAATGGCTGAAAATTTAGAGTGTAGGCTCTGTCATCCCAGGGGAAGGTGGTGTCATGTTTGCTATGGGATACACATATTTATGAGCCTTACAGAGGGGGAGGTTAAGGGAGGGGATGAGAAGGGGATATCTCCTTATGGGACATTTGTTCTTTCAGCAGGCTTGCTCAAAGGAGTTTATAACTCTGCCACTAGATAAATGTGTCATTTGCATTTTCTGTTTTATTTTTACCAGCCCTTGCAAGAGAGAGATCACTTACTATTGATGTCCTGGTTCTTCCACTGGATGTTACTGAATATAAACTGCACAAGGATCTTGCCCAGGCTGTTATGAATTATTTTCAGAGGGTAATAATTATTATTTAATAAATAATTATCAAATAAAGCAGCTTTTAATTGAGTTTCATAACACTAATAAAAGTAATAATAATATTGTCAATCCCACACATATGAGGACAGCTCAATTCCAGACCATTGAGGACTCACAGCAAAGACACAAAATGGTGATCATTTTATATGGTGCAATTATAATAATAATAATATTATGTTTCATTAACAATGAGTAGATGATGCAAGCTTTTTTTTCTTTATTTCTACCAATTTTAACACTTGATGAAGACATTCAATTGAAAACTCCTAGTCAAGCTAATAAACTTAATAATTATGTTTTAGTGTGTGTTTGTATCTCAAAGTTATGTTTTAGTAGTTTTTACATCATCATCATCATAATAATGGTTTAATGATGACTTTTCTTCGCAGTAGTTCTACATTCATCATAATTATGCTTACTAAATTACTTAATTTACGTGACTTGTGTACTTAATTATCCCATATCAATCGTATCAATCAACCTGCCCTCAACCTGGGCCTTACAAGGTTTCAATTAAAGAGAATCCCATTGACTTGAAATTTGAAGTGCATTCATGCCACCTCCTCCGAGTTATCTGCGGGTCTTGCAGACCTACACAGACTGAAATCTTCCCGTCTCTTGTACATGAAGTAACCAATTCTCCCAGATATGAACTCAAGGTGATTGCTGTTAGAACATTATTCAGGCCAATTTGTGACATTTTCAAGGAGGGGGGATTTTTTGGATATTTTACACATTTATTGTCAGTGGCTGGATCAGCAAAGTTCTAGATCTTCATTTAAATAACAACTTTTTTTGGGAGGGGGGGGGAGGGGTGGCATGGCAGTCAACAATGTAAATCATTGGATGATGTTGATCAATATTTTTTAGGTTGACATCTCTTAGAGTGACTGACCATAGTTAGTTCTTCCTGTTTTTATTTTCATTGAACTCATAGATTGACATCTTGGTGAACAACAGTGGTCGATCTCAGCGTGGCCTAGTGCTTGATACCCCTGGAATGGAGGTTGACCAAGCCATGGTGAATATCAACATCTTTGGACCAATTTCACTGACCAAGGCAGTTTTGCCGCACATGATCAAACAAAAAGCGGGACAAATTATTGTCACAAGCAGTGTGGCTGGCAAAATTGGTGAGTTGAATTACTAACAAAGCATGGTCGACTGTTCATATAGGAAATGGATTACTTTCTCAGTGTCTCCATTGCTTTGTGAGTACTAATTACGATTATTACACTTAAGTTTATATAGAGCTGTTGACTACAAATTTAAAGCACTAATAAGATGCGACAAAGATAAAAGGTATTTTTGGTAGCGGTAGCTCACTGGTGCTTATTCTTTTCTCCTTTCCCCTGCTGTGAAAAAGATTGCCTGATCACAGGTTATAATCAAAATTCATGATGTGTCGGACTAAGGGAAAATGAAATGTTGACTGTATGCATGATCATTTGTTTTCTTCTTTTATGTCATGCTGAAACACGGCAAAAAACTAACACTGCCCAAAATACCTTTTGACGTTGTCACATGTGCTTTCACGCTGCTGCAGGACTAATGTTCTTGACATAGGTGTATTAAACTGCGAGGGAAATACAATTCTTTTTCGTTAGGTTCTCCTGGTCAGGCCACATACAGTGCAACTAAATTTGCTATTCAGGTTTGTAAGCTGTGTTTTTTTGGATTAAATAAATATGTTATGTAGGACTATAACATTGCTAATTGCATGGATTAGTTAAGAACCCATCCCAATACAATGTCTTCATTTACTAGATTGACACATCTTGTTGCGGTTTCTAGGGTTATTTCAACACCCTGAGGATGGAGGTTAATGAACATAACATTGGAGTGACCCTAGTCTGCCCTGGGCCTGTCCAAACAGATGTTGTGGCAAATGCCTTCACAGAAGATATCAACAAGGTAATAGACCATGGATAAGCTCATATTTTTTGAACTGGTCAAACCACACCATAGTCTTTCAAGGATCTAGAATGAGGTGTTTTCTCCTCATGATGATGTCATTGACAGAGTTGAGTTAGTCATAAAAGAACAAATATAATAAAAAATCAAAGCATTTTTAATTAATTTTAAAAAGACATGGTTACATACAGTTGAAAAAGCAGCTATCATAAAGAACTTTATAGATAGTGTTCCAAAGAAGCTGGTTAGGAAAGCTTTAACTGCTTTGTCTATGAAGTTGTTCTGTTTTGTTTCAATGAGCAAATAAAGAAACTTGGAAACTTTTTCACCAAATTGTCAAAAAATGGTTTAAAAAGAATTAATAGTGTTTACTAATAAATGCTTGAATTAAACCCTAACATATTCATATTGAGATAGTTGATATTTGTTAAATTTGTCTTTTTAGCAATTCAAGGAGAAGGCCGCAGTTCAACGAGACAGCAACAGAATGCCACCCGCAAGGTGTGCACAGCTCATGGCTATAGCAATGGCAAATCAGCTTGATGAAGTATGGATTTCTCCCAGGCCTGTCCTGCTATTTGTATACATCAGTCAATACTGCCCTGTTTTGTATGACTGGTAAGTCGATATGGCTGCTACTTTATTCAGTGCTGGGTGTTCTGATCTCTTAACACAAACAATTGAAGTGAGGCATTATGGTTAGGAGGTTGGAGTGGAGATTCAGTCTAAGTTTGAGTACTTTCTAGTCATGTTGCGTTCTTGGACAGGACATGTAACACTTCCACTACCATTCTCCACCCAGGAGAAACATGAAATGCATGCAAATTTGTAAAGTATGATGCTCTAAACCCTCTGCTTGCATTAGTACCAATGCTTCTATTTATGTCAGATTCTATGCTTCCGGGGAATGAAACAGACAAAGTTCTACTGATAGGGGGTGTGGGGGTAGGGGTGGGGGTTTTGTAACCTGCAATTGACTTGCATATCAGCAGGGAGCTGTTAAAATAGAAATACTCCTGGTCACCAATCCTACTCCTAGTCTCTAGTCCTACTCCTAGTCACCAGTCCTACTCCTAGTCACTAGCCCTACTCCTAGTCACCAGTCCTACTCCTAGTCACCAGTCCTACTCCTAGTCTCTAGTCCTACTCCTAGTCTCTAGTCCTATGCCTGGACACTAGCCCTACTCCTAGTCACCAGTCCTACTCCTAGTCACCAGTCCTACTCCTAGTCTCTAGTCCTACTCCTAGTCTCTAGTCCTATGCCTGGACACTAGCCCTACTCCTAGTCACCAGTCCTACTCCCAGTCACCAAATACTGTTAGCAAGGTTTTATTTTGTACATTGACGTCTGTGTTCAGGTTTGCCAAACGTGTGGGCATGAAACAGGTTCGAAGGATGCGGGAAGAAACAGAATCAAGGTAATTACCATATTGTAAACCAGCAGCAATTTAGACAAATGCATAAGGTCAAGTTCAAATAAAATATTGAAATTAATAGGAATCCCACAGAGAGGCTCTTCGTCCACTGTTTCCAGATCAAATTGGAATCTTGAAGTTTTGATCTTTGCAGAGGGAGGAAAACTGGAGAACCCAGAGAAAAACCCTCAGAGCAAGGAGAGAACCAACAGCAAACTCAAACCACTTATGACACCAGGTCTGAGATTCAAACCCTCTTTGAGCTCTCTCACCACTGGGTCATTCCTGCTCCCCCAATTTAAGTTCACTTTATGAATATTTACATTTCTTTCTATATTTACAATTTAATGGGAGCATTTTACGTGACACTTAACCTTCTTAGGAAGCCTTCTCATATGACCAAATAGGCTGTCTGGGTACATGCATACCCTCCCCTCAAAAAACTCAGGGATGGGGCAAATGTACACAAGCTAATGACCAAAGAGCTGACTGCAAGACAAATACATATGTGAGGCAAGAGCAGTGATTTTTTGCTCTTGCCTTATTTTTCTCTCATATCTAACAATTTAAGAGGGAATACCTTGGAAACAACAAGGTTTATCTTGGGTATCGGCTTTCTTACTTTTTATCCTCTCCTTTGTGTTATAGGAAAGAAGACTGATGAATAGTTAAAGAATGACAAGTGGAATATTAAGTTTGTACATGTAATTGCAATTTGAAAATCAAAATGATGTAGAATAGTTTGGAATAAAACTATAACATTCTCAAATTCATGTGATAATCCATAAAGAAGGTGAAACTAAAATAAATAATGCAAATAACATTTCTGCAAGAAGTCATGAGCGTCATATCTTCAGCCTAAAATCGGCAGAAAAATAAGAATATTCAGGCTCGACTAGCCTGTGTCACAGCCGAGTTTTGTTTTTTCCGGGGGGGAGGCGGCTGTGACACAGGCTAAGCCTCGCCCAGAAAAACACTATTCTTATAAAGAAAAGAGTATATGCTTCACATTGAAAGCGCTTACCGACAATTGATGCAAAAATTGATCAGCAGAGTTTTATTGAAAAGAGCCATTATAATAAATACTTAATTGAACTGGTTTGTTCGGTCGTTTATATATTTTTCCAGTACAGACCTCGTGCTAGGTTAATAACATTCATATAACAATGTATAGCTTAGAGAATAATTACATGAATATCATAGTATAACCAGGTAACCAGGACCTTAACAGTTTCCTTTTGTTCTCACACAAAAGATATACAACCTTGCCGCGACAGATAACTCGAAATCCTGCGGACTTGCAATCTTGTCCCTGGGGAGAGAGGGCACTCCCATATAAAAAGGAGGGGGTTGCTCGGCGGAAATTTTGAAAAGAACCCCTAAGAGATAACAAGATCCTGTTTTGTGGGCGTGGCTTCAAATGTTTTTCACCCTTAAGAGACACCAATTCAATAGCAACACATTAACTGACACTTTCATAATTTTTAATAACGTTAAACACGATTGCTTCGAATACCTTCTACTTTGTCAAAAAAATCCTCCTGTCATATTTTTTTGTGGCTCAATTGTGATAACAGGTTTTTGGGCCGCTTTTAAGGATAACAACTTAAAAGTTGTTATCCTTCTTACAACAATCCAGTGGGAAACACGCTTGTAGGCTCGATTACCAGCCGCTGTTCGGGAAAGAAGCCCGCGCTCCTCCCCCTCTCGGGGGAGGGACGTAGACCGGACTCGAGAAAGCGGTTGAAATCGAGCCTAACACGCTTGCAGCGACGGAGTTTGTCAGACTTCTATAGGTTTCGGGATCTGTTATAGCAAAGCAAACCAACGGGAAGACAGAGAATACACAGTTACTTAGGTCCAACAGTAGAGTTTAATCCAGTAACGTACTCAGAACGTAAAACATAATCAATACGGGATAGTGGTATCCGGCGTCCCACCACCAGGGGCATAACCGAAGAACAATTTACAAAACACCTGCATTTATGCTAGACTCTAAACAAGTGATCTAATATTTCGTTTAGTTAACCTAAACTCCTATTGGCTGCCAATGAGCTCATTGTTGTTCTAGGCTATCCCATCATAGGCAGTCAGTTATTCTGCTCGTAAATATTTACTTATAACTTCAGGTAGTTCTCACTACAAAGTGTTACACGATGATACAGATAGACAGGTGGTTAACATGGTTATTGGACTTTCACTTGACTGTTAAGTGTTGGCTTTTTCATGGTTATGAATATCGGCAAATTCTTCCCTCACACAATACCCTATAAAGTACCGCATATATGAGCGTCTCCCCTTCCACCGGGATCTTGCCTTCAATTGATAGTTACTTTATCTGGGGCTTCTTAACGTTTACTGTGTTCGAGTCCTCGCCTGCTGCATGTGATATCTGATTGTTCTTCGTGGGAATCAAAGCACGAGAACTAATTATAGAAATCCTACACGAATGATTATTTCAAAACTATTTGATAGAAGTTGCCACACTTCTGTGAACCCACGCAGACTGATCATGCGACAACTGGACAACAACTGATTGAAGCATTCATTTAATGGACCGGGAAAATGGTTAAATAAGGTCATCAAGGTGAAAAACTAACTCAGTATTTTAAATACCACTTAGTTTCAAGTTATTTGAAAAGAGCGTAGCAATTATTCAAATTAGTTGCGAATAAGTTCCACAGAGGCGACATGTTCGCAGTTCCTCAATGGGAGCAGTAACCGTGAAAACAAAAGACAATCCTGTAAAACCAGTGACTGTGAATATTCAATGACTTTTTCCCACATCTGGTTGCCGATGGGACTGCATAACAGTTCGTTTAAACTTTTATTGCATCATTTACATTTTTAACTTAAATTGTTCGTGAGCAGCCAGTCACTACTTACACGGAAGGGAGCAATCCTCTACCTAGAAGTCATCTCACGTAGAATTTTGATGAAGGTGATGTCTCCTTGAAGAAGTTTTGTGCAATTTTCAATGTCTTTTTTTTTTGCGTTATAATTGTGCAGGTTCTCTAACTGACGACTAGAACAGCAAAATTCCAAGTTCTTTATACTTCTTAGTTTCCTCCAAAATAGTATGGCAACAAAAACGTATCATCGTTTTTCTACCCAAATTTGCATTAACCATGCAAGTTCTACTAAATAAGTTTAATTATAATTCTAAGTCATACGAAAGACATTTTCTCTCTTTAAACGAGCCGGACTCAGCTAGGTCAGTAATGTCAAGAAAAAAATAGCAATTTTCTGTGTTTGGAAGCGCTAAGAGTTACGATCTTGTAATGCCAACCAGAAGATCAAAACGTTTGGTCTGCATCTGGGATCGTTAACATCTTTGTTTTTTCGCGGTTCATGGCACTTGAGGAGTTTGCATTCTTTTAAATCCATGTTCAATAGAATTTAAGCGCACCCAAACAGGGGAAAGACTTTTAATTGTCAGTTACACTCTACTCAAGAAGATATTTGATACAAATACACGCTAAAAATAAGGTTTCGACCATTCAACGGTCGTTCTCAAGTTAGGTTCAAGAGTTTACGGAGTCATTTTAATGAATTTTAAAAGTGGCCTGCATTGAATCTTTTCATAACTTGTAGTGGTTTATATAATTTCTCCCGAGAAAATTGTGGTATCTCATAATTTCAGATAATGCCTAACTAAATAAGGGTATGGGAGCAAACTTTTTGAGGTATCGAAGAGTGACCAAGGAGTTGTTTTTGTCACCTAGGCGAGAAAATTTAAAACGTGAGCGGTATGTTTAGCTTACCGCTCATGTTTTAAATTTTCTCACCTACCTAGGTGACACACAATAACAAAAGCATCTTTCTTTTAATGGTTAAAAAAACAAAATTGTTTGCTTTGCCAAAATTTAGAAGCTTCCGAGGCAGCACTTCGGCTTCTTTGAAGATTGGCGAAATTTTGGCAATCCGCAAAAAATTGGCGAGTTTGAAACTGGGGGTCGCACTTATTTTACGCTACTTGATGACAGATTTATTAATTATACAAACCTAATATATTGTCGATTTGTTTTTCAATCGATAACAATCGATATTCCTGAAGACAAGAATTATCGATTGTTATCGATTTTTGTCAATCGATAGCAATCGATAAAGAAGTTTTTCTCTGAGTTCGATTGTTGTAGATAGTGAGTAGCGTAGCCAATCAGAGAACGGCATTCGTGATAGAACGCTGGTAGATTTATACTAAAACTGGATAGAAACAACGGATGAGAAAAATGTACACGAATAGTCCGAAAATATGAAACGTTGCGTAACCGAAAATACTAACTGGCGAAACTAATTATAATAACAAATATACACGGAATAACTGAAATAACGGCGAAAAAAAGGACAAACACGTGAAGTCGACAACAAAATTGAGACGCCGTGACTGCATGAGGTAAAACAACCGTGAAAGATATAGCCTCTTCCAGGCGTTCAGTTAGTGTTGGCGCAGCACGAGAAAACGTAGCCTGCGAGCAGGCTCACCTTTGCGTCACACGCGGGAGCGGCGAAGAACAGCGATCCGGCGGGAAGGAGTCGATTTCGCGCTTGCGGCTGGTGCTCCAACGTGAGCCTGCTCGCAGGCTTTAGAAAACGGGGGAGCGAAATATAGGAGAGAGAGGCCTGGTTTTGAACTAACTGATCGGATGTAAGAGGCTCTGATCAAAGACGTAAAAATAGACAAGAGAGCATGATCTAAGTTGGATTTTTTTTTTCAGTATTCATTGCCACATCACCATTCTTGTCGTTCATTTGATTGTATTTCATGATCCTGACTTAAACTTTTTTTAAAAATTTTACTCATACATTATAATATTTATTTAAATTTTAATTTGTGTTGAATACCTGCAAATTAGGCGGTGTATCATTTTATCATGTGATATCACACCTAAATTACACAATATACGGCCTTATGTGCGGACGCGTACCAAGAGGATTAAGTAAGTATTAAACAATATAACTTGTATTTTATTGTATCAGTACTGTGTTCCCAGCTGTATACAGTAGCACACTAGACCTACATTGTACGCATCGTTGACTTTGGAGTCAAACGCGCGAGTTAAATTCATGAAAGAAGCTCGACTGAACTGACTGAACTTAACAGTTGCAGCTCAGTTGTTAACGTGTTAGAATCACGTCTGAACATTCATCGAGTCCCGTTGGCAAACGGTCCAATCATTACAAGTCTGACTAGACTCTTTGGGTTCGACAAAGTCAATTGTGAGACGTTTCAAATATTTGGCGGGTATTCTAAAAAAAATGTATTGTTTTCACGCCTCAGTCATATTTCTCAATCATGAGTAGCTTTGTAATTTTGCTGTCCATGAGTTAAGTTTGACATTCATTAATACTCATTTGTAAATAAAGTTATAGCTAGAAAACTAGAAAAAACCAAATAATGAATAATTACGTGTAAATTCATGGCGCGATTAATCAGTTTGCTAATTAAACAGTTTGATGAGAAGAGGTAAGTGCGTGATACAAATAGGCATTATCAATTTAAGTAGTTGGCGCCAAAATTCACTTTTTCTAAAAGAAATATTCATAAGCTAAGGAGTGTAGCATTTGCTACTTCAGTACTTGACTTGTTTATTAACTCATCTAGACGCTGCATATATGTTTGATATGAGTAATAATAATAATAATAACAACAACAACAACAACAACAANGCTTGCGGCTGGTGCTCCAACGTGAGCCTGCTCGCAGGCTTTAGAAAACGGGGGAGCGAAATATAGGAGAGAGAGGCCTGGTTTTGAACTAACTGATCGCATGTAAGAGGCTCTGATCAAAGACGTAAAAATAGACAAGAGAGCATGATCTAA